AAATAATAAGGCACTGCTATCACAATAGTGTCGTAACTCAAAATATCTGAAATTCTATTATACCATTTCTGAATGTAAAATGTGATCATCTACGCGTTAATAAAACTGTCTTTAGAATATTGTAAGATTTATAAGAAACAACTAAAAGATGTCACCATGGGGTTAGTGGTTTACTGACTTTTGTAACATCCAAAATTGCATCATCTTTAGTATTTTAGTTATGATCGGAATTCGACAAATGAGGATGTCTTGCTGTGCTTTTTATACTTTTTTGTGCTAGTAGCTGTAAAAGGTCCTGGCTAACTGAAGAACTACCTTTATCATCGATGGCGCTACGGCAAAAAAGTCGTTAAAGAGCAAAAACAAAGGTCTGCAACAAGCACATAGTAACAGTCGTAAGGTCCGATAGTTCGTTCCATGGTTTAGTTGGCACAGCGTCTGGCACGGTTTGTATTAGAAATTTTTTCTAAGTGTTCGAACTTTGTATCAATAATTATAATAAAACTATATAAGATGCCAAAAACCGCTTATAGAGGTTTGTAGATATAATTTCGCTGATTTTGGATGTGTTAACAACATAATTCCGCTAAAAATATCGATCACGTTAGTTATGATAAAGAGGGAAGTAATGCTGACGTGTGCTGATATCTAAAAGGGGTCCAACCCTAACTAATCTCGAACGTGGACAAATTAGGTAATTACTGAAATAATTATGACGTCATCAGAATCTAGTGGGCGTACACTATGTCAGTTTGAAAATAATTGTAATTATAAATGATTTGCAGGAATATATTTAACACCACAAAACAACAATCTTCTACTCAGTCCTCAGTTCTGTTCATAATGTAATGACCAACATGAATGTAATCAATAACAATCCTGGTACAACGAAGACCATGAAAGAAAATTCTGATTCTGATTCGGATGATTCGTTATCGGACGATGAATCAGGTTCAAATTTTATTACAGAAGAGGAAAAGGAGAATCAAAGTGAGAAATCGGGAGAATTGTCTGAAAAAATCGAAGCAAGTAACGATTCCTTTTCGTCATATTTTACATTTCTTGAAGAAGAGGAATGCATTGTACAAGTAACGGAAATCACAAATAAAGAAGTACACGAGGTAGGTACATTGTAAATCCAAAACTGACATTGTATATTTATTCCATTCGAAAAACACTAGATAAATCTAGACACAAAGGAGACCTGATACCATGTATCTATATAGCCACCGCAGAGGCACTTTAATTACTTATAGTAGCACGCTAGGTTTCGCACCTTTGATGTAATAAGGCCACATTTGCAAATGGAGAACTTTTCTCGTGAAGTTTAAAGATTAGAGTAGTAGAAATTAGTCGACAACTTTGGTTTTCAAAAAAATCACGTACATAATTTGTTTCAACTCGTTTGCATTATTTTTATAACTTTCATATGTGGCATTATACCAAGTACGAAAGTTTTAAAATAAGTGGGAATCGCCAAAAGCCATATATAATTATTAAGTACGTATTTTGTTTTAATGATAAGTATATTGTGTGTAGAGGATTCGGTTACTTTAAGATAGTGTGGCTGTCGCATAGGTAAATTAAATTTGTGAAAGAGTTCTTCTAGGGAAGTGGCAGTACTTCCCTGGACCTTGCTTATTTCTGCCGCCAAGCAGTAATGGGAGCATTACTGTGTTCCGGTTTCGAAGCGTTAGGGTGCTGATGAACATACAGATAGAAGAGACTTGTCAACTTATGTCTCAGGGTGACAGGCGGAGAGGCAGTGTCTCTTAGATCTTCGCGATTTAAAGTTTTGCAACTGCTATGGATATGCTAGGTGTGTCGTTTAATACCAGGCAGACGACCTGTACGCTCCATCATCATCATCTTATTTAAGAGCTAGACTCTTCTCGGTGTAGCCCTCTCCACTCCTCACGGTTCATAGCCAGTTCTTTGACCTCTTTATAGCTGTTCACTTTGATCTTCTTTTATATTTGTTCACTATACGCCATTCTCGGTATTCCTCTTTTTCTTTTCCCTTCTATCCTCCCCTCAATTATCACTTTCACAAATTTTCACGCTGCATCAGTTGGTATCATAAAAAAAAGCTTTAACAGGGGAATAAATACCAAAACTGACCCAAATCGTAGGAAACGTGGAAATGTAGCCAATCCGTTAAAATTTCATGTTGGTACAAGATACGTACACTCTAAGAAGTGACCTGTATTATTATACTTGGTATCGTGGAAGAATATCAATGATTATTAACTTTACCGGGTATGTTGTTTTATATTACGCATAAAGTTGCAATTTGCTAACGAAAGGACAAGTAAGCTAACACATCACAGATATGGGATAGGAGTAATTTCAAATTATTGGAACAATTATACTTTACATAAATAATGAAATGAATTTGTTACAGATAGTTACAGAAAATGGATTGAAGTATTTGGTAACAGTCCCAGATAGATTGAGAGACAAACTACGCGTTGGAAACTGGGTTTTAATTCAACCCACTGAGGATGGGTCGACTCATCCTGCTGAAATATTGGACGTAATAGACACTCCGCGAAAGCGTTTTTATGGACACAACAATTTATAACCAAGCCAAGATCTAACTTGACAAAGCTAGGACCAGATACAAGAACAAACGATCAACAAAGTCACTGAGAAATAGACCAACTTTAAAACAAAGTAAGAAACAAAAGGAAAATCAATTAAATTTTTAAGAGCACACGGAATCGCATATTATAATTATTGAAAAAAAAAGAAAACCTAAAATTTTTTTTCAAATTAACTGACATAACTTGACAACACTACTATAATTTCTTGCGTCATCACTGGTCACGAGACTTAGAGTATGGAAAAAATCATGAGATTATAAAATATGAGGATGAATTACGCACATTAGCGTGGTCAGCTTCTTAAAAAAAGAAATTTATAAATGAAGAACAAATATAACAACATTTATAAAAACAATTCGACAAAAGTTGACTATGCTTAAACATAATGGATTGATCATTGAAGATGAAGGGGATCTACTGCCATCAAAGGACAAATTTTGTACTACGGAATCTTCTAGAACAGAAAACATCCCAAGAGAGATAGAGAAAAGAGACTTGTATTGACCAATTTAAGACCGAGTGTCTCCCTTATTACACAATATATTCCTGCTTCGAATACCATCACTAATTTTTACGTAATAATTTATAAATTTATATACATTGCACCATAATGCAGTATTCCGATGTATTGTGTAGTTTTATATCTATGACCTTAAAAATGAAATCAATGGATTACATACGCGTTTAGTTATTTTTATATTTTTAAATGTTTCGAAACCATTCTGCCAAATCATTACGGTGTCAACTGCGTTCCGATTGGCCAGCCCGAATTCGAATTGTTTAAATTCAAATCGACCACTTTAACTTGAGCTTTGCTTGGACTAATTTGTAATAATTTTAATGAAAATTTAAAACTTACATATTTAATTACCGATGAAATGTGATTCGTTAGTTTTGTAATACGATGTTTTGCTGTTTCTCCCACATCACCGATTGGAATAGCCCATAGTTAGAGATATTATCTTTATTACAATAAATACAGAATATTTTTGGAATATACGGAGACTTACACGCAGGTCAGTTATTGTTGCTGTACTATTTCAGCTTTAAATTTTATTTAAAAGTGATATAAGGCCCATTTGCCTAATGAGTTGCCAGTGTTGGATGTCCCTTATTTCGTCTTTATTTCTGGTTATTATACTATACTCTAAGTATGCTAATTTGAGGCATTCTTGTTCAAACTATCACAAACACAACAATAAGTACGTCTACTATTTGATGTCATTTTTTAAAATAACAAGCAACCTGTGGTGTAATTACAGACACTTGGGACTTGTCAACTTATGTCTCAAGGTGAGGGGCGTAGTGACAGACCCTCAGATCTTTGTGATTTAAAGCTATAAGTGTTACTGCACTTGCTATGGACAGAAGTGTCGCTTATCACCAAGCGAACGATTTGTTCGTCCCGTTACTTGATTACATAAAAGAAACCGCTTCAATTCTATAATGACGCGTGTGATGACACGCGCTATGCAACGTGAATGCGCCGTGAGATTATGGTGATGTTTGTGTCCGTACACGGCGCGCGGCGGACGTGCACACATACAAGTCGCGCTGCTACGTTTGTATGGAGTTATCATATTTGTCTTATTTATTGTTTTAGCCGTCACTAAGTCCCAAAATGTGCAAAGATCTAACCAATTCACTTTGAAATGGTAGTTTAATAAAAAGTCCCCAAGTTTATTATTAACCGACTTGAACAAAAGGAGGGTGTTCTCAATTCGACAGCATTTTTTTGTGTATTTTATACGCAATTACTTCGGCATATGTGAACCGATGTTGATGATTCTTTTTTTGTTGGGAAATAGGGGACCAATATAGAGGTGGTCTCATTTAAGGTCTCATAAATTGGAAGAAAATATTCCACCTCTAAGGGTTGCAAACTAGAGGATGAATCTGGTTTCGCGCACTTTCTGTTTGTTTGTATGTAGAATATAAAAAAGTTTGAAGTCGGTTTCATTTTTTTTAATAAAAATTAATTACACATCAGATAGTGACCTTGCCCGTAGATCAGATCTTCCTCATTAATTGGGCCTGTGAGTAAATAATACGCTGCGACTAATAATAATTAGAAATCAGACACATTTCGTAACCTTGATATAATAAAGCCACATATGATCGAACGTCAAACGTCAAATCTCATGAAAATCTAAAAAAAAACCCAAATGGAAGAAATTATATTATTTGTATGTGAAATTTTATAACTCTTAAAAATTATCGAGTAATTTCGTTCGTAGAGACATTGAACCTCTTTCCTTTAAAATTGTCATCGTGTAGATGTGACCTCATTAAACCACGGGTGCGGTTTAATATTCTGTTAACAATTAAAAAGGACTGTTTTCACAAGGTCAATCGACGAGCCATTCCATTAAGCCAAGCCATTATTGGCTCGTGTAAATAGAGACAATCCATTATGGAGTGTCTCCAGACCGCAATGATAAAAACAATTCATTAAATTAGAACGATGTCCAATTTTTCGGGACAATACCTTTCCCCACCACACTTGCATTGAATTGGCTCATGTGATGGCCTTGTGCGAACGCGCATCCTGAGCCATTCCACTAGTTTGCCTTTACGGTTTAGTAAAGAATCTTAAACAAACTTATTGTAATACTGGCTGTAGTGTAAATGGACGTTGTAAATTTCGTACTTTTCACTAGACTCAATGGGACATAATGCAGGCTAATAGACTAGCGCCGACGGGCGTCCGAGTAGTGGCGCGAGAGGCTGGAACAGCCGTGGATCTCGCGCCAGCGCGCCGTCGGCGCGATCCTGCCTGACCTCGAAGTCTGGTTGAGCCAGCGGAAGTGCATCACCACGTTCGACTGACACACCTCACCCGGCACGGATCGGACGCGAGTCGACGACGCAGTGCCACCAATTAGGATCCCGCCCAGCACACACTGGAAGAGTGCCCCGGGTGGGCCTCCGAGCGGAATATCCTGGTTGCCCGGATCGGGCGAGATCTCTCTCTGCCAGACATAGTAGCGGCTATGTTGGCGGATCAATTGTTCCATGAGGCAGTGATCTCCTTCTGTGAGGCGGTAATGCTTCAGAAGGAGGTCGCCGAGCGTGATCGGGAGATGGCCGATCCCGCCCGTACTCTATGTAGGCAGCAAAACGGTTCATTATTACGTCGAGAAATATTTCAATTTTGGCCTCGCCCATCCTCGTCAATCCATACCATTTCCACCGTAGAGGGCTAGGTGAAAATTGAAATTTTGTCATACAAATTTCAATCCTCGTCTCGCTTCGTCTCGCCTTGCCGTTGGAAAACCACCTTTAATATATATGTATCACATCGTAACTCTGAAAAAGGTGAAAATCCCGTCTTGTATCTAGATGGCGCTGATCGATATCCTGGAAGTGGTTTATGTGTAAATGGCCGTGGATATGTATTAATTCCTCTTTAATACGCAATATACAAGTACCTAGTCAGTTTTTTTCCTATAATATTATTCCAAATATTAACCATGAGCTAAAATTACATTCTGAACTTTGGCAAATATGCATATTATTAGATAAGCATTCTGGTACAAACTAAAAATTAACGCTTGCTAATTGTTAGCAGCGACACCTAGTCGCGTTGGCTTATGTCAGTTACCTAAACTAGACATCGATCTCGTTCTGTGGTCGCTCGCTAGATGGCGCTAGTAAAATAGTGTATATCCTAGGCGTCCAGAGGGCGCCTCGCTATATTATAAAAGTCGATTTCCAGTGCTTTCTCTTAACACGGTCGGAACAACAATTTTAGCTGCGATTTTATTTTCCTCGCCTAAAAAAAGCCAAGGTTAAACACAATTTTTTTTTAATTCTACTTCTTTTAAATGCTATGGCTCCATCGAAACAAACGATGATTTCGCCAATGTCTTCCATATATCAATGGCACTGTTGCTTGTCACTGTACCTGTCAGGCGTGAAAGACGTATTTTCAAATGTCTGTCATAGATTTAAAAATTGATAAGTGCGGTGAAATGCAAACAAAGACAAAATTTATTTTATTATAATTCCTCTCAAAATTGCTCGAAATATGTAGAATTACATTAATCACAATACCTTTTGAGGTGTTGCAATAGTATCAGACCTACCTAAAAAGGTACAGTAAAAAATTTTAGTTAACACCTGTATCTGCCGTATTGTTTCCGCTGCTGCTGCTAAGCATTAGTCTTTCAAAGAGATAGTTGCACGGTTCACCACACTGGTAAAGAGTTTGTTGCTTCGTCGACTTAGAGGAGTTTCCTCAAGAGGTTTTTCTTCAACGTAAGCAACTGATATCGTACCTTGGTATAAATAAGGCCACATGTGATCATTCGTCCAAATGGTCCTTATCACATGAAAATCATAAAAATAATAAGAACTACATGAAACAAATTAGACCAAGGATGCGATATGTATACTCGATGTATAATAAATGTCAACAAACAAAAACATTTGATTTATGGCCTCTACACACTCGCGCGCGAAGCCGCAAACTACCCGCGAAGCATGAGTGTGGATCTTTCTTCGCGATTTCGCGCCGCGTTCGCGTCTCGTTCCCGATTGTTGTCGGTATTTTGTCAACAATGTTTATTATTAGTAACTTAGTAAGTAGTTTATGATCCATGTATAATTAGTAACTTAGTAACTAGATAAAATAAACTGTTTATTTCAGTAATATAACTAACTACTTTACGTTACGTACGTAACTTTACATTAACAGTGGATGGTACCACCCTTTAAGCTTATCAAGCCTGTGTCAGGAGGTACAGCTCTTTCATAGCTATAAATACACATTTAACATTTTTAACTTAAATGCTTAAGTAATGAAACTATTTCTCCGGATTTAAATCGCGTATATTTGTTTTTTCAAACAAACCGACGTTTCGGGCCCTTTACAGATTCGACAGGTCGATTCGACGGTTGACCGTGACCACATTGAAAAAACAAATATTTATAACGCGATTTAAATCCGGAAAAATAGTTTCATTTCCTATGTGTAACAATCGTGAAAACCTAATAACGATATAAATGCTTAATTTAGTGTTTAATTGTTACATTTCCAAACAATGTCAATACAAACATTTTTTAACAATTTTCAACATGCTTAACTTCTAATTTTAAATTTAATTTGAATCTTAAAACGTGTGTGTGTGCGTGTGTGCAAATGTTCTAGTAGATCTTCAGTTTCCTCATACAACATAAGACTGTAGCCATTTTGATATAAGTTTCTTGCAATCTCTGTAACTTTTGGCATATATTTCTAATTCCTTATTAATTAAATTATACAAATAGGCCGATCGCTTGTTGAATTGTTTGTTTACAAACATTGTATTTACTTTAGGTACTTGTACCACAATGTATTTCCTTCTCCTCTTCGAAATATTTAGATCATATTGTAGAGACCTATGTGTCTGAGTACCTACAGTTTGAGCGATGTAGAGTTTCCTTACAATGGCTAAATTTGATAGTTGATACAAGCTGCTAGTGGAAAACCTTTTTTAGAATACATTATTTTAACCAAATTGCGATGCGCACTTTCCAACTCGAGAAAACGGGTTTTAACAGCTCCACCCCATACAGGATTACAATAAATCAATACAGATTGAACCAAACTCTCGTATATTTCTCCAAACTCACGTATATTACAATATTTTTTATTAATTTCATGTATATTATTTCCTTAAGTATATCCCTGGACGACGAGACTCGCGGCCTAGCGACTGATCCTGGCACTACATATCTTAGTGTTTTAAAAATCCAATTAAGTTTTTTTACTCTTTTAATGATAGTAAATAGTTTATGATCCACGTTTAATTAGTAACTTAGTAAATAGTAAATGATCCATGTTTAATTAGTAACTTAGTAAATAGTTTATGACTAGGTATGTTAACAAGTATATTTTAATGATAAATGTTAATTTTGCAGCAGTTCTGTACTGTATTAAGTGCAGTCCAGTATCTATTAACACAATTTTGTAGGGCAAACATAACCGTCAAAAAACCTCTCGACTAGATAAAATACTTATTGTCTAAGTTCTCTCGCGTGATGTAAATATTTGAGAACGATTGAAAAATTGAAAGAGGGTATTTAGATGTAAAAAGTACCCGCTTTGAAAATTGACTAAGTACGTATCAAACCAGTATAGAGTATAAATTTCATTATTATCTTTGTAGAACACTGTGCCAAACACAACTACAATGGAAAATTCTTGGACTTTCAAGATCTGCTGGCCAATCTTGCAGCCACCCCGTGACGAGCAACGGAAAGAACCTATTACAAAATTTGATTACATTTAAAGATGAAATGTACAAATGGTAATTCTTTCAAATGCGACGATGATGTTGGTTTATGCGAGATAAAAAGTTCGGACGAAGAACTAAGAGAAGAATCACTAGTGAGTAAAGTACCTTATTATTGCATTCTTAAGGTAGTAATTCACATGGCTATTTGTATTTTCTATTGGATACTTGTTGTATTTGACAAAATATTTAACGTACAAACAAACATGCAGACACTGACAAATATGACCGTCTACACATGGAGCCAAATAAGGAGTTAAAACACAGGTTCCGAGACTGTTTGGCTCACCGCCCACTTAGGCAAGATAATAAAATTTCAACGCTCATCATCACAAAAAAATAATTTAAAACACGTATTTTTTATATTAACTTAACACAAAAAATAGCAAGGATAAAAAATAAATATTATAGTATATTATTGGCGGCAGACGCGCGACCGCCGCGCGGTTCAGTGTGATAGGGTTCATACAAACTCGTACATTACAAAAATGCCCACGCCCGGAACCACGCTTTCACTTACATTAATGGCGAATCTGATTTCTATTTACTAGGCAACAACTTTTAAATTCCTCTAAGTAATACAACGCGCGGTTGCCCGTAGACCGTACGCGGCGGCAGTATGGTTATATTGTATCAAATACAGATCCGAAAAATGTAGGTGGTACAAATAATTAAAAATATATTTTTGATAAATTTATTATGTTTTGTAAAATCACGGGACAAAAGTAGTCGTTCATGATGTTAATATAATCTAGTCCTACCAGGTTGTTAGTATTTTTAAAGTAAACCTGTATAATATGTAGACATTTATCTATTCATTTGGAAGACCCTACTCCGACCATTTTGGTTGAAATAGGGGGCTCTTGGACAGGTATTGCGGTGCTGAATTATTAAGTAGGTACACTGCGTGTTTTTAAAAAATATTATAATTGAAAGTTGTTTGCAGAAATTACTTACCTACGCATCCACTAGCCAGAAGCGGTAGTGTTTGTTCATAATATTTATCGAAAATGAAGGAACCAAATTGTACAGGAAATTGTAAAATCCTCACAGACGACCAATGTATAGTAAAAGTGACAGAGTTTCGTGATCGGGATCGTGTGTTTGTAAGTACACTTAAAACATCTACATAATTGTCTTAAGTCTGGTGGTTTTTGTCAAGTGTCACAGAGCCAATACGTATTGGAGATACGTTTTTACTGTTTGCACAATGTCTGCCTTTACATAGGGCGCACTGTAAGTTTCCGGAACTGGCCACTTACATAAACAATATTTAAAAAGTAATTACATTTGAAAATGGAACTCTTTGGCTGTAGAATACAGTTTGTTTCATCTGATTGTCACTTATTTTTACATTGTGGCGTCATTTTAGAAATTGGTTGTCTACATCACCATGGATTTAACTCGTGAAAATTTTTGCAGTATGATTTTCTACGACTTTAAGTGTAATTTAACAGCTCAGCGGAGCTTCGTACGACTTCAAACTGCTTTTGGCGATGAAGCACTATGCAAGACGACTATTTGTAGCTGGTTTGCAGAATTCAAACGCGGTCGTGTGAATCTCAGTGACGAATTTCGTGATGATCGCCCGTCCACTGCTGTGAACAACAAAAACGTCGATGCTGTGCGCCGTATGATCAAAACAGACAGTCATGTGACATACCATGAGATTCGGGTATCTTTAGACATAAGCATGAGTCAAATACAATCAATACTACACAAACATTTGGGTGTGAAAAAGCTGTGCTCGGTGGATCCCACACAATTTGACTGAGGCTCAAAAAACGGATCTCCTCCCTTGGTGCAGTGCCATGCTTACTAGATTCAACGAAGGAGCGTCAAATTTGGTATGGGACATAGTAACAGGTGACAAAACATGGATTTATAGTTACGATCCCAAAACAAAGCATCAATCGAACGTATGGGTCTTTCGAGATGAGCCGAAACCAACCAAAGTGGCGCGCGTGCAAAGTGCCTCTAAGCGGATGATTGCTTTATTTTTTAATAAAACTGGACACGTCGCTACTGTTGCTTTGGAGAATCGTTGGGGGGCGTGGTTGAAATGACCACATCGAGGTGACACGCCTACAAACATCGCCACAGTGACGTGGCGATCGTTGTACATACAAGATCTCTCGTAAAACGTAAAAATACCAAGTTGTAGCGATACACCTTGTAAAAATTGGAGTGAAAACAAAAATTTTAAGACCAGTGAGATAACATTCCTCCGGCTACTTGCATTTTTAGTTACTATTTCTATTATTATTCAATCTTTTCTTTTTGTCTCCATAGAAATTTCTCAAAACTCAAATACAGTGATGTTCATTTACGAAGACTGATGTTTATCGACAACAAATTTTTACTGAAATGTTTGAATTTTTTACTATAATTTCTATAATTAAAGTCCCTAAAATATCGAAGCGAAAAGCATTTACGTTAAATTGATTTCTTTTATTTTATTATTATTATTATTATTATTATTATTATTACTAAACATTTTATTTCGAGTAACTTTAACATAACTCATATTTCGGGCAACCGTTTCAATTTCATGTCAATTTGGATGTTGCTGTTGCTTGAAGAAAAATTTATGTGTTTTAGATATTTAAGATATTTAAATTTCATTATACTCGTAGATAAACGTAGAGTAGGTATTTTTAATTTTTAAGTTTTTCCAATGAGTTTAAAATAAAAGAAGGTTGGATTGAAGCTGCAGGAAAATCGAAAGATTGGTTTTCTTATTACTATTTCTGACTTTGTTTCAATTTCCATAGCAAATGCATTTAAAAAATAAATAAAATAAAATCGGCTTTATTTTACATGTGCATGCAAAATAAATTGGAAACAATATACAATATAACAAATATAGAAAGTTACATAAATCCTTCATAAAAAAACAACATAATTTAATTTATTAAATTCATTGATTGTTCGAGTTTACTCTTGACCGTGACAGCTTCAGCAACCCGTGGTAACGTATAATGGAAAATTGACACTAGCGACGATCGCCATATTTTTTATACTATTCTTATAATACTATACTACTATACTATTCTTATAAAACTGACACTGGTCCAAGCCTAGTGGCCGCCATTAAGAAAATAACAATAATTTATATTAATATGTTAATTTAATAATACACCAGTACCAGTGTAGATATAGTATGAAAAATGGAATATTTTTTTAACTATTAAAAACAGCCACATGGTTTCCAACTATCGATTAAGTAGGACCACATCAGTTCAGTTTAGCGTCAGTTTAAGGTTAACAATTCACGGAGCGGTTTTCATCCGCGCCCGGCGGTGCGGCTAGACAGCGGTTTTATTTCAATACTCACGACCCTGCAAGTTTGTGCGGGCACATAGCTGCCGCGGTTGCGGGCACGAAACCGTTGCGATTGCGGAACCGACCCCGAAGTTAGTGGGAGTTAATTGCAAGTCGCGCGGTTAATAGAGAACTCACCCTGCGTGCGCCTGCACCACATTGCGCCTGAACCGACCGCCAAAGTGTGCGGGCGACGACGGCCGCCAAGCGCACAGGTCGTCGCGTCCTGCGCGGTTCTACTAGTACCCCGCCGGGGAAACCGCGAACAACCGTCACCACTACAGGCGTAAAACGCGCTGTGAAATGTGCTACTAATTTTTTATTTTGAGCAGTGAGACCAACTGAAACTGGTGAAATTACAGGCACATGGGACTTGTCAACTTATGTCTCAGGGTGACATAACTCAACTTATGTCGCAGTGGCAGTGCCGTTAAGATCTTTGCGATTAAAAGCTCTAAGTGACACTGTTGTGAACAGGCGTGTAGCTCACCGTCAGGCGCACGACTTATTCGTCCCGTCACTTGATATTATAAAAAAAACTGCTGCAGTTGGTATGGCAACAGTTATCAATGGCAGTCTCAAGCTGTTGACTATGACTGCAAGAACGGTTCGTGTATGTTGATCATTGGCTGACTGCTCAGCAGGCCGTTTATGGCCACGCTTAGACAAGCAAAATAAAAGAAACAGAATTAATGCACGAAATTAAGGTATAAAAAAAAACAAAATAAGACAAAACAGACAAAAACCAAAAAAATACTAAATATAACGATTACAAATGTTGTACTGTCATTTGTGCGGTTGTGGCGTACGCAAAAGGACTTCATTCGCTAGCCGCAGCCATAATTGACTGTAGCGCTGGTTTTCAATGAGCCCTGAGTTGAGATGAGTGACGGACGTGTGTCGCAAAATAAAATAAACTGCTTAAATATTTGTGTAAGTGTTCTTTTATTGGTACGCCAGATGTCGCAACGAGTACCATATAGTACCATATATTTGTAACTAATTTATTAGTGGCTTCATACAATGCTTTATTTGTTTTTTTAATGGCATAGTAACTGTAGATAGCATAGAGGTTGTATTGCCGAACAAAAAATTAAAAAAATAAGTTGGGCCAAAATGATTATGGTTTTGGCGTACGTACGTGACGATCCATGTGGATCGTCTTGTTAACGGACTATTTTCAAATTGTATGTTTTTTTATCAATTACCTGCAATACGAATAAAATAGTAGTAGACTTGATTTCCTTTACATGATCGATATCGATTATTAACAAATGCTTTTTCTTGTTTTATAGCATGCCGCATAACTTAATAAAAAAAAACCGCATAACTTAACAAAAAAACGAATCGTGGTAGGTGTTGCTAACGCTATTAAATGTAGGTTGCCGTATAGATTGGCAAGTAAACAGTTCGTAGTACCCGTTATGAAAAATACGGGCTAAAGATTTTTTTTTATAATATCATGTGACGGTAAGGTACATGCCTGTTCATAACAGTTGCAGTGCCACTCAGAGCTTTAAGTTAACAAGTCCCATGTGCCCATAATTTCATCAGCGCCCTTACCTACAAAACCGGAACGCAGTAATGCTCACATTACAGCAAGGCGGTAGAAACAGGTAAGGTGACAGTACTTCCCCATATGAACTCTTTCACGAGGAGCTCTATTACTACAAGAAGTAAAGTAAATAAACACATTTGATATGCCAACGACAACATCTTGTATATCAACTTGCCACACAAAACAATATCTTTCCAGAGACTGATTATTAAGAAGACTGGGTCTGCTAACTGGGTAAGGCTAGCCTTACCCTAGCAGCTTACAGCTAGTAGCTAATAGCTAGTAGCTAATTTTTATTTTGGAGAACTAGTTCTGCAAGATAAAAATTAATTAGGATTATTTGAACTCGAAGTTCCGTAACTGTTGCTTCATATGCCTTAGATTAAATAAATAAGGCTTTCTTAAGCGTAAAAAGTGGTTTTTTTCATTTATTTCTACCAAAATCTAGAAATTTCCCAAAATAGGGACAAGGTGATCCCCTGGTTCATCTTGCACCTACCCGTAGGATCATTTTGGACACTGGGGTGTCCAAGACTTTAGTTAAATATCGTTTAGACTACCAGTATTCTCCCTTAAGGTGATCATCTGGTACACCTTTCCCCTACTTTTAGTTTTTCGACCGTGCTCGTATAATATCGTCACTAAAATTAAAATTATTAAAAAAATGGCATGTCATTGTTCGTAAGTACCTACGCAGTTGCATTTTATTATCTTTAAATTTTCTCTTTGATTTAAATAAAGACTCATGTGTTGCATTTACCCTCAAAAAAAAAAACAAATCCGAATCTAATGGCGCGATCCCATTGTTTCGTGACGACATGCCAGATAGACCAGCATGATAATCGTTAGGCCACGGAGGTTGTCATTTGTTTTAAATGAATGGTGAAAAATATTTTATCCAAAAAAAAATAATGCAAATTTATTTATTTTTTCCTTACTGAACACATTTGCTATTCGAGAGTTCTTTCAAGATTTTTGAATTAACAAGCCCATGCCCGAAAAAAACTTTCTATGAGACATTGTACGTCTATTAACTAGTTTATGTGACAAAAAATAACATAAATTCAATGACAAGAGTTGACAAAGTAAACGATTTATTTACTCTTACAGATAATAACACCGGCAGGATATAAGCATTTAGTGCCAATATCAAAAATAACAGAACGGCAAATGACAATAGTACCTGGAAGTTACGTTATAATACAAGCTACAGAGAATTCTAGATACCCGGCTGAAGTAATTCAAGTAATAGACAGTGATCTCGAAACGTTTTATAGAAATAATAAATTATGGCCAGCACCATATGATATAGAGGGCCATGTAGAACAACTAGCAGAGAAATTAGAAATAAAAAATAAAACTGAACAGATAGAAAGGCTCAAAACAGACATAAAAAACATAACAAACAATCAAACAAAAACAAGAAAAAGCAGTCCCAAGAAAGTACCTCGTTCATCCAGTAATAAGCCGCCGCAGAAGAACGTACACGGAAAAAAAAAGGAACCTATCCCCACTACGTCTTGTAATCATACAATCACTGAACAAGAACAGGCAGATGAGGGATGTAAAACATGTAATCCCATTTGTATTCCTGTACCGCCGAAAACAACCAGTACTGAAAGTAATACAGAGAACGCAACACTAAGCAAAAGACTAACAATTAGTAGCGGACTAAAACCTGCTCTTAGTGGCACATCTACTTACCAAGGGACATCTTGCTGTAGTGCTTCTTTTGCAGATAAAATGTCCGTTGGTTCTGGGCCTAATTATTCCAATATCGTAATTGACCGGGATCGATTACCACCTTTGTATGGGAAATGTACCCCATGGCAGGCAACTAAAAAAGAACTTAAGAAATTAAAAAAAAAAAAATAGTAGTTGTTCAAATCATAGCAGTTTCTTATTTACTACAATTGATAAACACTGCTGACTGGAGGAGAGAAGCTAAAGGTCGTGACACATGGAGAAACAACCGCAGATGGAGATATCGTCGCTCACGATAGCGCCTGTCTCGATCATTTAGGTCTTAACCGAACTCCGCCAACACTAAATTAACTACATATGGCCGTGGCTGCCACTCTTACGAACAGGACTGGTATAGATGCAGATAAAAATTGAAAACAAAATTTAATACTGAATATACGAAGAAGCCTTAGATGTCGTATGAATTTCTGTGCAGTGTGCATCATCATAGATTACCTACTCAACTTGGTATACCACATTGTATACTAATGTAAGTATCCCGTTAAGCGAGTTTGATAATATTGTTTTCATTGGTGTGAACGTACCTATCTAAAGATCGGCAACAGGACAGGATTTTACTTACCGTCACGAGTCAGCATCGCGTCCATTACAATTTAGATATATTGTAATGGATGCGATTATTATAGATTAGATATTATGTTAAAATAGTTCTTAGTAGAGTGTGACGCACAGTGGGCCCAAATTGATAATTCTTGGATATAGGAATAACTTGTAGAGTATCGAGCTACCTTTTTTTTATATGATGGTTAATAACATTCCTAACAACTTTTATTCTTGTATAATTTCTTGAAAAGTTGATAGTTTCGGAGAAAAAAATTATATATTTTTTTTTTTGTATTGAGAAATATGCGTTTTATTTTTATCTCAAAATATACAAAAATGTAATGTGCGTGGGTTACTTACAGTATAGTTCCAATCATTTTCTATGTAGAAAAAAATGATCCGTCTGCATGTACTTTGCGGTTTTGTAAGTAAAGGTGCGGCAAAATTGCCAACACTTTTATGTGCTTTTTTAACAAAATACATAAGCTTCCACTAAATAAAAAATCATTTTAGTGTACTTGGTACTTGGTGCAACGGGCTGGTTTCCGCAACTCGACGACAAAGCGCCTATTTTGCGTGTGGTAATTTTAAAGTAATTTAGAGAGTGTTGTAACAATAACACGAAAGTTAAGTAGAAACTAGTATATTGTGTTAAAAAATAAATAACAAATGTAAAATTTTGACACCTTTTTACTCGTAAAGCCTCAAGTACCTGCAGATGGATTATTTTTTCTTGATAGAGAATGATTGGACCTATACTGTAAATAAATCACACACATTACATTTTCCTACATTAAGAGATAAAAATTAAATTTTATTTCTCTTTAAAAAAAAAATTCTTTTTCTCCGCAACTATCAACATTTCAAGAATTTTTTTTAATATATATTAGACACACGCTTCGCCACAATCTCACCTGGTGTTAAGCGACGATGTGACCGACGATGTTATTATCTATCATAAAAAAAATTATCTATCCATCTCTTTTCATTATCTATCTCTCTACTCCACAAGTTATTCCTATGTCCAAGAATTATCAATTTGGGCCCACTGTGTGACGTGAAATATTCGCAATGTCGCATAGGAACTCGCTTCTGCTCCGTGCCCTCGCAATGCTTAACAAACTCTTGGCATCCACACCGGAGTGTGATCTGCTTGCGTGGCGATGGGCAGCAGCCCACAGAGCAGTGTGTTGTGTACGCTTGTAATTCTGTGAAATGATGGATGTCTGGGAATTCAGTGTATAATTATAATGTATTTGTCTTATTTATTTTTATTTTATTTATTGTTCTTTATTTATATCCTATTGTTATTATTTTCATAATTAAGGTGCAATTGCACCGTGTATTTACAGTAAATAAAATAAATCTACTAAGTGTGGTTTTTACACGGAGTTTAATCAACTTCTGTGTAGACGGCTTTCCCGAAGAGGCACATTCCGAAAACTGGCTTCCATAACTGCTTCGGGATGTGGAAGTACCGATGGGAGCGTATTGTTCAGTAGGATGTAGATTACTTTGAAAGACCCTACTCCTACCCCCGCTTACCCATCTTTCTGAGAACTTACCTATTTCTGCCCGCCAAGCAGTAATGTTAGCATTATTGCGATCCGGTTTAGAAGGTTAAAGGTGCTGGTGAAATTACAGGCCCATGGGACTTGTCAACTTATGTCTCAGGGTGACGGGCGCAGTGGCAGTGCCCCTCAGATTTTTGCGATTTAAAGCTCTGAGTGGCGCTGCACCTGCTATGGACAGGCATGTCACATACGGCGCACTGCACATTCAGTACACAATGCGTGCAGGATGCTGTTCCGACTTCCACCTATCTGTAGCGCGTCAGCCTTGTTTGCTGAGAAACATGTAGACATCTCAGTACGAACGGCACACACTCAAATTTCAAAATGTAGGTGTGTAAGAAAATATATACATATATTAGCGTAGTCGTATCAAAGTATCACATCACGCCTAAAAATACTGAGCCGCCAACTACTGTCGATTGTGAAGTGCAACAGCTCCAAGTTTGCTCTTTACGCTAAATAATAATTATGTCGTAACGTTTGTGAGTTTATGCGCAATCTTTAGACATTTATTTCTTAGTTACGTTTGATATTAAAATAGCAAACTTTGACCTGTTGCACTTCACAACTGACAGTAGTTAGCGATTCAATATTTTTACGCATGATGTGATACTTTGTCACGACTACTCTAATATGTATATTTTTTTTAAATAAATACTTTTTGGAATTTGCGTTTTGAGCATTATCTTGTATGGTGCCCCAGTGTGCGGCATTCTAAGCGCATTGGTGTAAAGCTGGGAGTTCCCGTCATCTGGGGCGGTGAATGCGCTTGCATACTCCTGCCATTTCGTATATAGCTAGTTGCCCTGTTATTGACTGGGTACGATGTGCTCCCATCATAAGTACTTTTGAATAATTTTGTTTTATAATTATTTTAAATCTAACACTAGCTTGTATGGAATAAATGTTTTATTATTATTATTATTGTATCCAAAACGGAATGTTAGGAAAACAGCTAGGAAATGACAAAATTAAATGTAAAGATGCGTATAAGAGTAGACAAAAATCGTAATTTTAATTCATTTAAATTTTAAAATTTAAACTCATTTGCAGAAATCTACTTACCTACCCAACCACTAGTTGAAAGCGATAATTCTGAGTTCACAAAATTTATTGAAAATGAATGATGAAGAAGGAGTCGATTTTGAACCTCTCGCAGAGGACCAATGCATAGTAAGAGTGATACAGATATGCAGTAAAGAAGTGGCGGTGGTACGTACACTTTGACAATGATCCTAACCTACACTTTTAAATGATTCTAATCCCTAGATCATAAACAATAACTTTTGTTCCATAACTTTTTACAAAACCTAATAAAATTACCAAAAATAAACTAACTTTTTGTTGCATTATCTGATTCTTTTTAGATTTGTATTTGGTAGTAAGGGAAGTTCAAAACGTGCAAGCGTCCTCCGCGACGATTCCCACCCCCCACCCTGCACAGAGCTATTACCGTTTAGAGCGATCTATTTAAATATATGTATTGGTTACTTTGAGAAGCAGTAGAGATCCTTGTGAAGGCGTTCGTCCAGGGTAGTACTGCCACCTTACCTATTTCTGCCGCCAAGCAGTAATGTCAGCATTACTGTGTTCCGGTTTTGAGGTGCTGGTGAAATTACAGGCACATGAGACTTATCAACTTATGTCCCAGGGTGACCGGCGCATTGCCAGTGCCCCTCAGATCATTTCGATTTAAAGCTCTGAGTGGCACTGCAATTGTTATGGGCAGGCGTGCAGCTTACCATCAGGCGTACGCCTTGTTCGTCCCGTCGCTTGATATTATTATAAAACCAAAATAGTATGAAAGTAACACCTTATGAATCATTAAAAGTAATGGAAAAAAAGATGTTGTTTATGACGTCAATAATATAGTCCTGCGATGTTATTAGTATTTTATAAATAACTTTTAAAATTAAAATAACGAATTGTATAAGGCGCCGTATTGCAAAACGGCGCTGTTTTCTAATACGGCTACCTCGTGTTCAGCCGGATTGCAATTCGCCTAAAAAAGTACGCCGCACTGTAATAGCACGTGGGGTTTCACAAAGCGGTTAAGAAATGTGCCGCCGTAATACAATAGGCCGCGTCATTGTTACGGTTCTTTGATATAATTAGTTCCTAATTGTGATATTTGAATAAGAAAATACTGTTTTACTATTTAAATTAGGATTTTATTAAGCGATACGTACAATACGCGAACGAGTCCAATAACAGAGAGAGATAGTGAGAGGGAGTGAGCAAGCGAAACACCAACCTCATTTTACGCGCGTTCACACACAAACATAGCCGCCAGTAGAACTATATTATCATAACGACAAAAATTCTGTCCCAAACAGCAACTGTCTCAACAAACTGCAAACAATATTAGTTTTACGAGTGGAAAAAGTATTAACCTAACCTAACCTACTGAATAGAGGGCGCAACTAAGATTTGACCTATATCACACCCCGGACACTCCATACAACAGTCGTTAATTATTTACCTACTACTACTACATACAGCAAGGCGCTTTCTGCATACGCGCTAATGTGTGCGTGAAGTGGCAGGGTTATTACACCCATCACTTTCTCGCACTATTACGTTACATGGTCAAAGCGTCAACATAGCAAAAATTCTAACGCGAATCTGTTATCTATGATTCTATGAATAGAATCCTAATAATTGCACATTACTATTAGGTATTTATATCGACATAATGTTATATTTTTCTTTAATTCACGAACTAGAGTAATATTTAAGATTTATTTCAAAAATATATTAAAAGCACTTAAAACGCTATATTTTGGACATGTACTTACCCAAAAATTCATTTGTTGATATTCACCCTGTATTCATGGATGAAGTTAGGGTGTGGGCGAGCTCGCGAAACGAACGAGTCCGGGCGGCCTCGGATCGACGCGCGTGGTGGCGCGTATTCGAGTATGTATCGACAGCTATATAGGCCGCGTGCGCGTTGCTTTTGAAATTACCGGCGAACAGGCCGTCATGGGCGAGAACGGGCGCGCTCAGACGGCCATCTTCCCAAAGCGCGAGAAGCTGCTTATAGGGCTCATTCAGTGTGCAGGCGCGGGCGCGGCGGCGGGTGTAGGCGCGCGGGTCTTGGCGTCTTCCCTTTCATATTGCCGAAGCGGCTGCGAGTGGGTAGATTTTGCTACACGCCGAAATTGCAAACAGACGCTAGACCAAGCACCGTGAAAGGTACGGGCGGTCTGAACCAATAGATCCACCCGCGCCCGCCGCCACTCTGAATAAGTCTTTACATTGCTCAGTGCGTTTTGTAGACATATAGATATTTGAGAGCTTACAGGAGCAATTTATTTTTTACATTTATGTTATTAATTATTTAAATGTCTGTTATGTCAACAACGTCCAGCAATATTTTATATGAAGTCACAGTCACAAGATGACTGCGGTAATTCAACACAATTCATACAGCACTTCCCCGTGTGTCCCTCGTACTACTACACTCGTACCGTAAATACATGCACCATGGTATATTTCGATGCAGATCTGTCGCTGTAGTAGATATAAAAATATGCAAATTCTTTACACGTTTACTACACGGGGGATTTTTGAAATAACGAGCCCGTGTCCGAAAAGGGCCTCTATAATAAATACGCCGTATTTATGACTGTTTACTAATTTGTATAACATAAAAAATAATACAAATTTACTGACAATAGTTGACAATGAAAAAGTTTTATTAATTTCTTACAGATACTAACACCAAGTGGATTTAAGCATTTAGTAACAATGCCACAAGCCACAGACGAGGATACCACCGTAAAACCTGGAAACTACGTTTTAATACAAGCTACAAGAGAAGGGTCAAGATACCCGGCTGAAATAATTCGGGTAATAGACTATGAGCTCGAAAAGTTCTATAGAGCGCGTAATTTATGGCCAACACAATATGATATTAAGGGCTGTGTAGAACAACTAGCAGAGAAAATACAAATAGCTCAAAAGGCAGCAGAACTTAAAAAAGGTCAAGTAAAAGGAAAAAAGAAAAAAGAAAAAAAGGAAAAAGTAGGAAAAAAATGTGAATATGTCGCCACTACGTCTTATGATGATGATGGAAAAATTAAAAAAATTTGTAAAATAGTATGTAAAAAAAGTGATAAAGATTATATCGACGACAGCCCCATTTTTCCTGATGATGTTGATGGTCAAACTGATTCCACGGGAAAAAGGACTGTTTATAGTAACACCGATTCTCAATTTTTGTTTATTACTAGCAGCCAGTCAGGAAGAGCAATCCAAAAGAAAAAACTAAAAGGTTATAAGAAACAAAAACCTGCTTTTAGCGGCACATCTGGTTGCTGCAAGACATCTTGCGGTGGTACGTCGAGTACAAAAGGAAAAGACACTGGTTCTGGACCCCGTTATACCAATATCACAGTCGGTAAAGATCAATTACCTCGATTGTTTGGCAAATGTACTCCATGGAAGATGTCCCAAAAACAATTGAAGAAACATTGTGCAGACTTTGATAGTTGTGTATTAACTAATCTTGAGAAAACAAAGAAATTAAACCAATGACGACTGCCTCGACCGGATCGGTTCAGGGCTCTACTTCACCAACGCCAAACATAAATCATCTACAGACTTTCTTACCAAAGAGGACTTGTATCGACACAGATAAAAACTAAAAAGATAAAATTAAAATACGACAGACAGAAAATTAATAGTTCATTACATACTATTAGGAATCTTATCGCTAATATCGACCTGTAGGGCCCGTAGTACCTGTAGGGACCTGTAGGGTAGTACGTCAGGGCGCGACTTGCGCGAGAGCGACATAAAGCGCGAGATCTCTAAGGCGCTCTGCAGATGGAGCAAGTTTAGTTGACTCAACTGGCAACTTTTTACAAGTTTCTATTAACGGTTGCCGGTTGTAGCAACTAAAAGGCCTAGTGGTCGGTTGCCGCAATTTTAAATAAACTTTCGAAATCCACTTTCTTTCGAAAACAACTCAAATTTGAAGTTGTTTCACGAGTTGCTGTTACCGGTTACGGAAACTGGCAACTGGAGACAACCGGTACAAATTTGCAGTTTGTAGTTGCGGCAACCAAGAATTTACTTAATCACTGATTTCGGCAATCGAAAACTGTAGTCGATTGTCGAAACTCTCAACTGAAGTTTACCACGTTTGCGCGGTTTCTTGAAATTATATGAAAAACGTCATAAACAGCTAGTTGCGGGTTGCCAGTTGCCGAAACTCGATCATCAAAGTTGCTCCATCTGCGCAGCGCCTAAGGAAGAATAGCAGTATCGCATAGTACAGCAGTATCGTTTTATGTCACTCTCGAGCAAATCGCACAAATCATGCCCTGTCGTGCTAGCTCTACTGGTGGAGGTAGATAAAAAATTGAGAGAAAGCGAAAACAAATGTACTGGTAACTGCTCACATACATCTCGCCTCAGGAGTCTACTCCCGTTCGTTCTCCATTAACAATTATTGTCAAATTAGTAATCAACCAAAGTACAAGACGCATGATGTGAATGACATTTATATTTGACATTGTTTTTTGATATGGTCGAGTATTACTTATTTGACAATCATTGCTTCGGACAGAGAACGGCAGTAGAGTCCCAGAAGACTAAACGAAAATTAATAAATTACGCACTGCACTTTCGAAAGAACAATGGCGACATCATTGTTAAAATAATTCTTTAGCGTCTTCAAATGTCATAATTACAAGCTTGAATAAAATAAATTCATTAAATTTTTCGAATTATACTAAAGGTTTGTCGAAGTCTATAAATGAAATCATATTTAAAAGAAACTCAAATTACTAATTGGCATGTAACCAGACGAAGCACAGTGCTGATCTTTAATTATAAATATTATATATGATTAAAATATTTCGTCTGTAATCAGACAACTGTCAGTTTCTTAGTTTCTTTACGGTGAACGACACGTGCCCGCCAAAAACGATTTTCAGTACCTACGTATAGACAGGTCCATATAAAGTTAGTTCACGTAATATCAAATGTACTGATTTGACCGATTTGCAATAAAAGATTTACTGCTTTATTACAAAAAATAAAGTAGATAATTCCTTCTCGAAATATCCCACGCGAGAAAGTGATAAAACTGACAAAACATTTCCCGATATCAGGGATAGACGGCATGTTTCCAATATCTATGCAGGTTTCACAAAAAAATAAAATTAGTGGCCGAGTTACCTATGTATTAACCCAGTTTTCTTTTGTTATGACTTAGCTTCATGCTTTTTGACCATACAATTGTATAAAACAATTTCCTCCGAATTTTCGTCACGTGACAGACCCACGGCACTATTCAGCTTCAATAAACTCTGTAGGCTTCTGTAGTTTATTTTGATATAATAATAAACGGAATATACATATTTTATTCAATTTATGTAAAACATAACCTCCAGAACTTCAAACTGAAATATCTTTAATCAGGAATTTAATCTATATATTTTCACATATTTTTCATAAACAGATGCATACAAATTATGTCAACAAAAATTTACATGGGTGTTCGCCATTGTTCGTGTATTTTTCAGTGCAGTGTGCATTATTCATAGATTCCCCGGAAAACTTGGTATACCATTGTATCGCTGGTATTTTAGTATTGGGAGGGTATTTTAGTATACGTTAAGGGAGCTTGGTATTATTTTTTTCGTGGGTGTGCATCGGGGTTGGGCACAAAAAAGCTACATTGACGTATATGTTTATGCAAAATTAGGTGTTGGTGATATTATATTAACAAAATGTAAAACAAAAATAATTTTAATCGACTTTTGGTGAAAAAAATATTTATAATCATAAAAGCTACTTAAATATTAGGGGTTGAAGTACGAAATTGCCATTCTAAAGTTCTGGTCACTTTGAAATGAAATAAAAAGTTTTTGGTGATAATATTTTTTATTTTATTTTATTTTTGGTTGCGCCGAATGGTATTTTGATTTCACCTCGAGAAATTTGGACGCTTCTTATTCCATCCTTTTCCCGCACATACCATTCTCGCACGCAAGAGCGAGATAACGTCACCCAACTTGTGACACCTAGCAGGCGAAGAAGAAAAGATTTAAAGTTAGTTGGCTCTACTTTTTCAAATTCTATTTACAACCTGTTATACTTAGAATAATAACGCATAGAATGATAGTTTCTTAGCAAACGAACTGTCACAAGTGAGGCAAAAATCAAATTCATGTAGGCTAGTTTTAGTAGTAGGTTTATTTTCGGTTTTAGTGAATGTTTATATAAAAATACAAGTTGAAACGCGTTACTTCCTTGTGGAATGTGATGTTAGTATCTATTTTATGTTTGTCTGACGTATTTTTACACTCATTTACCGCACATTTCGTCATTTTTAGCTAAAATTCTTGATCTGTTCGCGGTGCAAATTGACCTTGAGCACTGAAGGCCCGCCCGCTCTTGTAAGCCCTTTTGGCGCGCTTCAATTTGCCTCACTTAGCGTGTGCGGACTAGGTTTCTATGCGTTATTATTCTAAGCTGTAATATAACTAAAGTAATAATGTAACACGCTCCGAGCGAAATGTAGGCATTTACATGTCGAAAAGGCGCGAGAAGCCCTACTTACTTTTATTACATAAAGGTATCCCAAAATTCACACAAGAAGTAATTTTGATAGAATACAGGTTTATAAATTAAAAATTGTATTTTTTTTATTGATCCAGGTACATGGTATACGATTATGTATGGTAAAGATATCGGGTAAATGGCCTCCACGGCATTGCTGACACATTCGCACACAGCTCTCAATTTCCATCTTTAAGGCGCTTGGGTGATCGTGGGCTTGTTAACATAAACCTTCGATATCAAAAAACCTCAAAGTTATCCACATTTTATAACATGAAGTTTTAACAAGACGGTGCCATGTGCCATACAGCACACGAAATAATGCAATTACTCCATAATGTAATTTCCCGTTTCGGTAATCAAAATTGGCCGCCCAGATCATGACTTTTTCTATGGGGTAAGTCGAAGGTTTATGCCAACAAGCCCACGACCACTTACCGCCTTGAATGAGGAAATTGAACGCTGTGTCAACATGATTCAGTCACAGTTATGCGAAACGGTCATCGAGAATTTCATTAATTTTTATAGTCATTTATTTCAGGCTGCATGACCAAAGATATAAACAAAGGTGATGCCATTACAAAAAAAATATGCTACGAATAATGGAACAGTGAAAATGGCTAAAAATAAAATTAATGCTTGACATTTTATTTAATTAGTAATTAGGCTAAGAACACCGAATGTGAGAAGTTAAGAAAAGTTAATTTTCTACGTTGACCCGGCCGGGGATCGAATCCGCGGGACTTGCAAGCCACTCGATCACTAAAATCGTCTTTTTTGAAACCTGCTTCTGTGCTGTTAGTACATATCGTCCCTGTAAAGTGATAATGCTGTAACCTACAAAAATGCTTTTTTTTTCATATTTTTGTTCAATTTTTTTTCTGCTTCAATTGGTCTGGGTCTCATGTCTCTAAAATGAAAACTAAACTCTGGACAGCTTAATTTTTTTGACGCTTTTTTCTGATGAAGGAATTCTTAGTTCATTTTATCCTTCCCTCTCTTAATGACACCGCGACTTATGTACAGTAATATTTAGGGACTGCGCATGCAGCAGTGAGGGTACTTGTGTGTATTGTCTGAGTTTTTTTATAGCAAAATCGCAAGCATTTTTCGATTATTAATGAATCTATTATTTCTTTTCCTTATTTTATTGTATTATTTATTATATTTAATCTCATTTATTTGTTCAGACCATAAGAGTCAGAAATTAATGAACCACCTAGGGACTAGTAAATATGATGCACTTAAATTATAGTGAAATTTACTCAAATCACCATGATTAAAATGATTTTATTCGACTGAGAAATCCTACGAAGTTCAAAGTTAATGTGATATGCAGGTATGTTAATATGTTTAGGAGATTATTATTCACTAAGTCACTAAAACGGATTTAGATACAATATTGCAAACAAGCATTCTTTGGATACATACATATATTTCTCGCCCTTCTCACATCGGGGCAGGCAGAGAAATGTTTATGCCTGTAGTGCGTTTCCGTCTTTTTATGAAAATTTTTCTCACTTCACAAAACAGTAACCATCATCATTTATTCAGCAAACTCATGTATCACAAAATCTTATTTCTAGATAGCGTGAACCCTGGCACAGCCAATAGCACAGATTACGTCGTAATAGTTACTGCCAATCTTAAATAGTCTAAATGACTGTAGGTATGTTAAGTCATTCATACCATAAACTTTAATTAATAATAAAATAGATACACGTATAAAATATATTCCACACATGCTAACAATTTTCTGTCGACAAATGCTATGCTACTAGATCAAAACAATCTAAGACTGAAATTTTAGATAACAAATTACTACGGCCATCAGACGGTTCTAATAAATTGTTATCTAATCCAATGTGCAACAATCTTCCACTTAAAATAATTAAACCAGATTCAATGCCACAAATTGCATCAAGAAGCTCCGTAAAATGTCACCAAAAGATTATGTAACACGCCAAACTCAAAACTAGTCTCTACAAAAGTTTGTGATCTGACGCCCACGTTTAGAAACCCTGACAAAAATTTATTGAAAGTACCCACTGAAATGATCATAGAAAATGTGTACTTTCAAAAAGACCAATAATGCAGAAGCGAGTTGCAGTTCCCGGACCTAACCTTCCATTGACCAGTTACCACCCGAAAATATTGATGATGTACAACCGGGTTGCAGTTCAATATGACAAAGAATTCCGACACTATTTAAAATGTTTAATTTTAATTTTTTTTTAAATTTTGAAGTCTGCTTAATGGATGAATATAGTTTGGTTTCATTTAAATTATGATCATGATAAAATGTTTCTATATTTTTACTATTTTCGTTCATTACCTAGTGACTACGGGGAATAGGGATTGTTTAATTATTATTGAATTTGTGCTATCACGTAAAATAAAAAATATAAGAACGGAAAATGAAAAACTAATAATCAAGAATAAAATTAGTTGTTGATTATTATTCTTTTATGGAATTTAAGGAATTTATAATTCGTTCTAATAACGATAATGTAATAGGGCACACAAAGTATCAATGATTTTGTTTTATTATGTTAAATCTCCAATATTATAATTCGATTTGTTACATTGTACGCTCTGTGACCAAAGTCTTTTTCACAAATAGTGATTCTTTTTAATAATAAACATTTTTAAAGTCACAAATTGCTTGTGATTTGCACTAACACAAAATACTCTTACAGCAATATTGAATTTCGCACATGTTCAAGAAGTTAATGTTTAAAGACCAAAAATGTGTTAAGGACCTCCAATTCATTTACATCACTCTTAGAATACCGTAAATTGACGGCATTAGTTGCACCTTCATACAAACTAACTTGAAAGTTATAGCATTTTTTGGGTTAAAATTTGAAAATCAAATTGTCGTAACCATTGACAAACAAATAAAAAATAATAAAAATACAAATAAATGGACGACGGGTCTAATACTAAAACAAAGAAAAAAATGTCCCAAATCAACCTATTTAAACGTAGTGACATGTAAAGGAGTATAAAAAAGCTAAAACGTTGAATTTAAATTGTAATGTCATCGCAGTACTGTCTAATTTTGCTTGCTTCGCTGTCAGTCGAACAAACGAAGACTAAAGCGTGAATGACGCTCTGTATACGATTTTAACGCCCTATAAGTTCGGACACTTTTTAGCGCGGACCCGACGTCCTTATAATTGTAAGTCAATGGTCGTAACCTTAAATCTGTATAGCCGCCTTGGACTCGGTGGAGTGAAAAGCAAAAAGACCTATTAACAATAATTCTCTTGTGGAGTCGAAGCTACAAAATCTCGACCATCGCAGAAAATTAGCCTGCTTGTCGGTTTTCTATCGCATACATTTCGGGGAGTGTGCGCAGGAACTTTTCGATTTAGTTCCACCGTCACCGTTCTCCTTCGGTCGACTAGAAGGTCCGGAGCACTCCATTCTTATGTCGTTGATATTCCACCTATTCGCACTAAGCGCTTTGCTTCCTCCTTTCTGATGCGTACGGCAAAGGAATGGAATGCTTTACATCTACTACTACAGGATTGCCCGACATCTGTATTTCCTGAAAAGTATAATTTGGGGCTATTCAAGGCTAGAGTGAATACGCGTCCCATCGTCGCTTAACATCAGGTGAGATTGTGGCCAAGCGTGTGTCTATTATATATTAAAAAGAAACACACATAATCGTCATTATTGTTAAGAAGTCCTATTTTTTATAGGTTTATTTGCTAAATTTGACACAAAAAACTCGAACCGTTTCAGAGTTGTGATTTTTTTTCATTTTTGCAATTTTTGTTTTGGCTCCAGTGAAAAGTTGAGTTAAAAACTCTTAAAAACTTATCTGTCATAGACACGGTAGCGATGATGCATGCTTAAACTTCGAAATATATACTTGCGGACAGTGAGCATAAATAGTATAATATCATTGCTTCCGAACACTTAATTCGAGCCACCTCGCATTTTTGTCAGAGCTACAAAAGTAGTGTTATATAAAAGACGTTTAGTACTAGTTTCAAATTTGCTTAATAGTTTTTGATTAATCAAACATTGTTTAAGCTTATGGCACTTAATACTGAAAATGCGTGGTGGATCGAATTATGTGTCCGAGAGTGTAATTATGTAAGTATATTCATCGCAACAAATATTCCATGGACATCTCTGCCGCTTATAAAGTGTCAACTTCTTTCCTAAAATTTAATGAAAAATTACTAAACAAATCACACGTATAGTCACATGTAGTAAGTACTCGTACATACATTGCTTTTTATGATAGGAAAGTTTGTACGTTTGTAAGTTGTTGGTCTGCAACTGGCATGCCAGCGTTGGGCATGAAAAAATGGTGCTTACATTACAGTCACTAAATCAATGTAAAAGTTGCCATTAAAGTTTCTTTATTTTTTCCACCTCTAAACATGAAAGACGTTACAATTTTTTGACGTCAGTCATAGAGTCAAAATTTGTTATTTCACTATACTTCAAAATTGTTAGAAACATGTAGAATTCCACATTTTATATTTCAGAATGTCGCAATAGCACCAGACCTACTTAAAACAAGCTGAACCTTCCAGAATCTATAATTACAGTAAGTATTTGAATTGAACTTTGTAGTGTGACAACCGATAATTCGTATAGTACTACTGCATAGATCATCTTAAAATAGATGATTTTCATTCTGATGATGGACATTCATTGTCCACCACACTGGACCTATTGAGATTGGGAATGTCACAGGTCTTCCAAGAATTTCCGCTTCTCTGATGTGCTGGTTTTCCCACTTCCTTCGCCACAGGCAGCTCATCTGATGGAACATAAAATCATGTTATATATTTCAATAGCAGCAAAGTCCCTTATGAAAGAGCTCGTCCAATCGAGAAATAATGTGAGCTACCACCGGCACTTTTACCTTCAAAACCGGAACGTAATGTTCAGGTTATTGGTGGTAGCTGGTTATGTCCAATGGTCGGGAAAAGGTGTTCCACAAATAAAGTTTTTTTTATCTTTATTTATTTAGGAACTTTTATACAATATATATGCCAGCTCCATCGTACCCTAAACTATAGGTTACATATCTGTGCGGCGCTGTTGGAGAGCCGATTCAATAAATAATAATAGTATTTTTGTCTGTTTCGTGTGGGGACATGCAATGCTTAACATACAATTTATAGCACCTAAGGTGTTCGATTGATCTGCAGGTTTCTCGTCATAACTCGCAATTAGGAGAATTGTTTTTTTTTCATTAAGAAAGCAAAACTGTTTGATGGAACGTGTCCGGTTCTCATCCTTAGTGCGATAATAACTATTTTTCTACTATAGTCGCACTCTTCAAAGGAAGGTAAACGAGGAGGCTGACACTGAACCCACATGTAGAAACATGTATAGATATAGCTACAAGAAGCAACATAAAGTTGTTAAAACCACCAAATAGGTATTAATTAAATACTTTTTCGTATTCCGGATTTCCGGACGAAAGAAACACCTCTCTATAATCTATATAGGAAGATAAATAGCCGTACATGGGTACACGTGCAGTTTTTGTAATAAAAACTAATGAAATAATTAAGATCTAATGTAATGAGAATTCAAGTGTGAATATTTTCCTTTTAAAATACGTACCACATTTCTGCTAGTGGTTTTGAATTTATGAACACCTGTTATACTGTGTTTTTTAATTTTAATAAAATATTTATAGCGTGCTACCACTGTCCTCATGCAAACTAAAATGTTAAAATTCCTCTAAAAGCCCGTCGAAAATAAAATTTTAAATTAATTATTTTTTCTTAACTTCTACTAGCAAATATCGCACACACACACAGCCTTGTTCTCGTTCAGTCAATGTGACCGTCAATAAGCGGGGCGTGGTGCGGTATTTAAAGCTAGGGAGGGGCGGAGGGTGACCATTTTCAATACTTTTTTATTGTCTGTTTGTTCTCAGTTATTTACTTCATTATTTACATGGCATCATTAGAATTATTTAAAATCCAATTTCGACGTCTTAGCGCAGTAGTTATGTCCTACGATGCAGTAAAACCATTTCCGGAAATTCGGAATTCGAAACAGTGACTAATTAATATTTGGTAGTTACCAATCAACGTCGCTCCTTGTAGCTATATCTATACATGTATCTATATATCGACTGTGAACTGGCATTTGGTACTATCTGAATTTTGACAACTTTATAGGATGAAGAAAGAAATTGTTGGCGTCATTTATATAGCATCTGGTTTATTAAATAAAAATACGTAGTTTTATACATGTATGTATATACACTACCTATTTTTTTAACCAGATGCTATATAATTGACGCAAATAATTTTTTCTTCATCCTGTGAAGTTGTCAAAATTGGGATAGTACCGCATACCAGTTCACAGTCCATATATGGAACACCTTTTTCCGACCATTGGTTATGTCTCACAATGACGGGCTCGGTGGCTGTGGCCCTCAAATATTTACGATTTATAACTTGCAGTGGCCTTCAACTGTTACGGGTAGTTTGCTTCCCACCAGGCGCACAACTTGTTCGTTCCCCGTTAGTTGATATAAAAAGTAGTAAATCATCATTTCTTCTTTTGCCGTTATAGAACATCGCACCGAAAACAATTTGAAGCAGTCGCAATGATTTCTTGGATGTTCAAGATTTGCTGGCCAATCTCGCAGCCACCTTGTGACGAGCAACGTGATGAATCGCATAGAAAACGCTGGGGTGCTTGTCTTAAAATTTGAACATTAAATATGCAAAAGGTAATACTTTCCAATAGGCGGTAGTAGGAATGAGAAATTACAGTAGTGCCAGGAAACCACACCATTACCTGGTCTCAAACTAGGAAATTCCCTGTACTATGAGTACCAGATCAAGACCAATTTTGAAAAGTGCGTTCCCCAAATTGTTCCTACTGATAACGAACTCCCGTATCTACACTCGCGAGCAACCAAACCGACTCAATGTCTAAGTGCGCATTCAGAGTAGGTTTTATCAAAAAGTTTACAATCGAATTATAAAAACGTTATATGTTTAAAATGTTTGAAACTTCAGCTTTAAAAAAGTACCATTAGCATCAATATCGATTCAGTAGTTTTTAAAAAATAAAATAAAATAGGCAGTACAGGAAAATTTACTCGCGGTACCCAGTACGAGTTGGGCGACCAACTAACCCTATAAAACCTCCCGCACGCGTCTTATCCCTACAGTCGCTTTCCAGAAGTTGACCTGAACGCATCTCCGTGAATCGCCATCACTATTTTGACAAAACCATGGATACAACACCGGAAGAAGCCGCTCAAGTTGTTGCTCTTTTGCAACAGGGACTTAGTCAGCGATCTGTCGCTGCTCAACTGCACCTAAGTCAATCTGCTGTATCAAGGGTATACAGAACATTTCTAGAGACTGGTGTATTCGACCGGAGGCCGAGAACCAGCCGTCACAGGTGCACAACTCAAATCGACGATCGGTTCATAGTCTCTACATCTCTACGAAATCGCCACCTGGCTGGTGTCGACGTACAGCAAGAGCTAAGACGTGTTCGAGGAGTGGCTGTAAGCGAGTGGACAGTTCGAAGACGCCTGAGGGAAGCCAACCTTACACCAAAACGTCCTGCAACTGGTCCGAAATTGACGCCAAACCATCAACAAGCGCGCCTGCAATTTGCTAGAGAGCACCTCAATTGGAACCACGACCAATGGCGGGCTGTCTTGTTTACTGACGAGTGCAGAATGTGTCTGCATGGCAGTGATAGAAGAGGTCGGATGTATAGGCGCCCAGGTGAACGATTTTCGCAGTGCTGTTTCGCTGAAACTGTGGCATATGGCGGCGGCTCTTGTATGATGTGCGCTGGAATTTCTTTAGACGGGAAAACCGAACTCGTTTTCGTGTCTGGGGGAGGCCGAGGAGGAGGATTGATAGCCGATCGGTATATTACTGATATTCTCCTAGAACGTGTTTTTCCGTACGCGGAGTTTGTCGGCGATAACTTCTTATTGATGCACGATAATGCCCTGTGTCGCACTTCGCGTATAACTAAGCGGTTTCTGGAAGAAGTCCGTATACAGACCATGGACTGGCCAGCGCTTAGTCCAGACATGAATCCCATCGAACATTTATAGGACGAGCTCAAACGAAGGGCCCGAGCCAGAAATCCGGCACCTTCAAATATCAATGAGCTCAAGACGGCCTTGTTAGAGGAATGGGACGGAATTCCTCAGTAAGTTATTAAAAAGTTGATCAGGTCAATGAAAAATCGACTACAAGCTGTTACTAGGGCTAAAGGGGGTAACACCAAATATTAATTAAATAAATTTATTATTATTATTTTATTTTTTTGGTTTTAATTTAAATAACAATCTCCATAAATTATTCTTCTAAATTCCTATTTTCCCTAATTGTTAACTCTATTACCATTATTTCAAAAACCACGCAATCGATTTTTATGCTAATGAGACCATCTTGAAGCTAAAGTTTCAAGCTATCAGAAAATAAGATATTTTTATTAATTGACTGGGTAGTTTTTGATAAAAACTACTTTATATGCAGGTGTAGGGCCTGAGTCGGTTTGGTTGCTCGCGAGTGTAGTACCTACTTACCGGCACTCCTTTTAAAAAAAATAATAAAAACAATTTATTTTCAGACAACTAAAAGTTCATATCAATTAGTAAGTTAGTAACATGACACACCTTGTAACTATTTCAATCTTGTATTGGTAAAATATATAAATTTATATTGTATATTAATATACCAGCCCTCCAAGCGGCTCATCAACGCACACAAGCAGTAAAGCTCCTTGTGAAAGAGATCGTCCACGGAAGTACTGCCACCTTATCTATTTCTGCCGCCAAGCAGTAATGTCAGCATTACTGTGTTCCGGTTTTAGAGGGTAAGCGTGCTGGTGAAATTACAGGCACATGGGATTTGTTAACTTATGTCTCAGGGTGACAGGCGCAGTGGCAGTGCCCCTCAGATCTTTGTAATTTAAAGCTCTGAGTGGCACTGCAACTGTTACGGACAGGCGTGTAGCTTACCATCAGGCGCACGACTTGTACATAATCCTGCATTACGCGGCAGACGACAAGGCAGACACAATACAAGCTAATGAATAGGTTCTTCTTGCTTCTTCCCCTCACACACTCATCATATTGTATTTGTATTTACCTGCTACTTACTAAACCGAAATTAGTTTTAGTAATAAGGCAACAGTTTATCACATAATAACCTATAAGTATACGTACTTAATGATAAATATTGTTTGAGTTGCAGAAAATCAAGTTTTGGTTTTTACATCCTGGTTTACGTGAAAAACGTAAAACTATACCCATGAAAATTGGTTTGTTGGAAGTGTGTGCAAACATTGAATACATAGAAATATCTACCCTGATGGAACATAAAGGTAAACTTGCATTTGTAAACACCATACGCGCCGGATCTTAGGCGATTATCACTGCTACGCGTCAAGCAACGGTGTGCGGGTCAATGAAGTCACATGACAGGGCAGACACCGAGCAGGCACAAATCTATTGCGGAGCGCACTGTGTGATATCCTGCGTCTGGCCGCGCCTATCCGCGCGGAGGCCGTGAAAGGGTCGCACCCTGCACTCCCGCATTATTGGCAAATTTCCAAATATTTAAACCTCTGAAAAGTTGCCATTTTGCAAATGTGACTATTGTAGTTGAACTCGCAGAATAGCGATGTGGAGTAACATACTATGTGATAAAAATAGCACATACCTATTAAAATTGGAAATAAAACTATATTCTTAGATATATAAGTCGCGAACATTTGTTTTCTTCAAACAAAACCAACGTTTCGAGGTATTTACAAGTGCCACGATCACGGCTGACTGGGACCTAGTCATGAATAGAGATGGGGAAAACTCCGTTAGAACGTGCTTTTTTTAAACGCTTGTCACTTAAACGCTTTTTAGTATGAAGCTTACAAATTCATTTAGAAAAACTTTTAAGCGCATAGACTTATAAGTTTAAAAAAGCTTGCAACGTTGTGTTGATAGCGAAAAGCAAGAGTAGACCACTAAACATTTTAAAATAAGTAAGTTTATTTGTAAAACACGAGTTTTGTAATTATTTATAAAATTATTATTCACATTGATGAATTAATTTGTTTAGGAAACATAAATTATATATAAATATATAATATATAATATAAATAATTATAAACATAAAAATGACTTGGAACATAAGCACGTTGTTAACGCTTACGCTTAAACTTGTAGTAAACCAAAGCTTTTGTTGTCTGTAAAGGCTGGAGCCTAAATTAGGATACCCTGTGCTATAGATCTCCAGGTGTCCATCAAAGGATAAAATATTCTTAAAAACAATGACTACAAGAAGAATTATTGATATGAGAGATAAGTACGTATATCAATAATAATTCTTGACGTAGTCACTGTTTAAAGAATATTTTATCCGCAAAACAATGACTGCTTACGACAACATTTTGTCATTAACATTACAGTAATAGTTTTCCGACCGCGTAAAATGTTTGTATACAAAGTGTTGTTTGTTCTCGTGATCGTTAGGGGCGCTGTATGATTTGCCATACAAGACTGTGGAGTAATGTACGCGACATTACGCGACGTGCGTAATTGCTCGTGTAAACTTGTGGTAGAGGCACTGATCCCAAAGCACTTCGGAAATCACGACGGTACTACAAATACCCAGATCTGGGACATGGGATCGAATTCAGGACTTCAGAGATGGAGACACCATGAAAACTAGTGTACAATCTCGACTCGACCACGGAGGTCGTTGTAAAGAAAAACCTGTGACTTTGGTTTTGTTTGAAAAAAAAACAATGCGATTTAAATCCGGAAAAATAGTTTCATTTTCTAAAAAAAAACAAATTTAGATCCGTAACAATATCAATCACTTCCTTACTACTATGTGTAACAATTGCAGAAACTTTGGACTCCATATCTATAAAATTCTGATTACGTCATTACTACGAGTAGTGGTACTTACAATGGCTATTTGTATATACGTATTTTATATATTTAGCAAACAATCACCATGTGTAGACAGCATGTATGGCAAACTATTTGCCTTATGTTCGCCTATTCGGCAAATACAGCAAAACCAAACTTACATTACCGCGCGCTGGTCGGTTTCTCTACGCACGTCAAAGGAGTATAAGCAAATACGCAAGTAAATGGTCCATACTATGGTCATTAACTCATTTGACTCCATGTGTAGACTGTCATATATGTCAGTACTGCATGTTTGTCTGTAAGTCAAATATTTTTCCAAGTATAACATTTCCATCGAGTATATAATCAGAAATAGAGACGAAATGTCATTTAATTTGCTTGAAATTCTGGCAAATCATTACGGTGACTACTGCGCTCCGATTGGCCAGTCCGAATTGGAAACAATTGACGAGTCTCGTCAATTGTTTAACTTAAGTCGACCAGTTTAACTTGAGTTTTGATGTAATGGACGAGAATTGAAAAAATACATACATATTTAATTACCGATGAAATGTGATTCCGTTTGTTTTGTAATTAGATGTTTTGCTGTTTTTCCCACACCACCCAATGGTATAGTCCCCGTTGTTAGAGATATTATCTTTATTACAATAAATACAGAATGTTTATGGAATACACGGAGACGTACACACAGGTCAGTTGTTGGCGCTGTACTATTTGAGTTTTCTAATTTGCGATTTCAGCGCAAACGAAAATTTATATTTATAAGTGATATAAGGCCCATTTGCCTGATGAGATGCCATGGACGGATGGCCCTTATTTCGTCTGTATTTCTGGTTATATACTACCCAATAGCGAATACAAGTAGCCATATGAAGTGCCACCATTAGGTTGTAATTCTTAATTCAAAGGCACTTTCAGACATCTACTTACCTACATAATATGTATACGTACTAGGCCATAGCGTTACTGTTCTGTTCACAATATCTTATTGAAAATGGAGACGTGCCCAGCACCAAGTTTTGCACTCCTCGAAGATGACCAATGTATAGTGAAAGTGCTGAAATTTTGTTGTCCAGACGTTGTGTTGGTACGTACATTTAACACTTCTATGGTATGAGATTTGTATGATCATATGATCCTGTAAAGTTATCTTAAAGTCGCCTTCAAATTAGATGCTTGTAGAAGAGATTTTCATAAAATATTTATGGCAGCTGTACACTTTCGCCGAGACACCCCGAGACATACCGAGTGCAGGAATGTACACGAAAGCATTTGCCTAGCCTCGAATGTCTCGGTGACTTTCGACGTCTTTCCTTTTTTGCGCCCGAGTCATAACGTCTCGGTATGTCTCGCTAGGAAAGGCGAGTGCTTCGCTGCACACTGTCGCATGTGTAGAGGTGTGTTAACGACGGGCTCACATACATAAATATATTAGTCTATTCATATTTCTTTTTGTAAAAATATTGCGGTTATATTTAGTTAAGGTACAAAAGCGATCGGTTACTCAGCGCCCTCTGCCTGCAGCCAGTAGTCTGCACGCATCTCACGAAACGGCCGCACGTAATTTTTTTATATATTTTAAGTGTGTTTTCGTAATTTTCTCGACCGTGATTAAACTGTGTGCCTTTGTACGGAGTTGTATTATTGAAGAGGATCCTAGTAGCCTACAAAAGTTACTCTTCGAACCGGATTTTCATATTTAACACACCTCCATTCAGAATGGTAAAAACTCGCAGTGCGTTACTGAGAGATACCGAGAGAACGGAACAAACCGCACTTACAAACCAACACGGCGAAGGAGCGGACAAGATGGCGGCCCATACTTCGGAAGCGATTTAAATTTAATAGAAATTTGTTTTAAGTGTTTAGACGCACGTCATGAGAGAGAAACATGCCCCGCCCCGGAGTGCGACAAGGATGGTTGCGGCCGAGCGCATCATAGAATGCTGCGATAACACCGTAGCAGTTGTCTAACGGCAATATGGAAAATCATCTTAGCATCTCATCTGTCTGTGAGAGATCAGAGTGGGCGGCGCGACAACCCCCTAACACCTGGGCATACGCATAAACACCAGCGACTGACACATCTATCGAGGGAACAACTCTAGGTCAATCAGTGCGTTCATCCTACCCCATTTTGGCCCCGTCAAGCAGTAACAGGGGATATAAAGGATATGTTCTCAAGGATCCTGATTCGACCTCAGGACCAGGAAATGCTGAGGTTTTTATGGCGGAGCGTCCCTACACAACCCGTCAAAACATATGTAATGACATCCCTAATATTTGGCGCTAAGTGCTCCCCTTTCGTCACGCAATTCATTAAAAACAAAAACGCAACATGATATGACTCATCGTCAACAGCTGCAGTGAGCGCCATCTGTGACTCGCACTAAGCAGATGACTATATACAGAGCCTGCCAGACGAGGCAGCGGCCATCAACGTGGTGAAAGCGGTCACCGACATTCACAAGTCTGGCGAGTTTGAGATTCGCAATTGGACCAGCAATACTGTCTCCGTATTAAAAAATGTGCGAAGATCTACTCTCGGAGCAACAGCAATAAGGTTTCAATTTGATCAGCAGCCCGAGGGCGAACGCACGCTTGGAATCATTTGGTTCCCAGCGACCGACGAGCTAGGGTTCGACGTCTCGTTTAAACGTATTCCTGAGTGCATCATTCAAGGTAAATAGAGACCAACAAAACGACTCATGCTGCGCGTTGTCATGTCTATAATTGACGTATTTGCGTTTCTGTCACCTTTTACCATACAGGGTAGGATTAAGTTGCAGGATACGTGGCGGCTACATATTTGCTGGGACCACGGAATGTGGTCTGTGGCTGGGACGATTTCCTTCCAGACGACATAAATAAAAAATGGTGTAAATGGCTAGATTTGCTTAAAATTATTAATAAAATTCATCTACCGAGATGGTATACGGCGAACGCTGTAAGAGGAAATGAAACACGAGATAAGCCGGTCGACAGCGTAGCAAGGCGACAGGCATTCACACCTGCTACGAACGACTACAACGCGAAGACGAATTGCGGCGCAACTTTGTGCTACGATTGCTACGATAACTCAATCTTCCGCCGCTGTGAGTGGCCAATACTATAATAATTTAGAATTACATTTGCTTAGTGATGCCTCGCTCAAAGCCATGTCTGCTGTCGCGTATTTACGCTGGCATAACAATAGTAAAATGTTAGTAGTTTTTGTAGCTAGCAAGTCCAGAGCTGCACCGATCAAGGCCATGAGACCATAGACGCGATCATGAGAGAAGAAAAATTACCTGGTGCGATTCCAGTGCGGTTCTTCACTGGTAAAATAATAATAGGCGCAGCTACAAGACGTTCGAGGCTAAGCGACTCGGTGAAAAAAAGATCTCACTAACTTGTCGGAGTGCAGGTACGTACCGACTAGTTTAAACGTGGCGCACATAGCTACTAGAGAGACTTTTAACTATGAATCTTTTCTTAAAGGAATGGCTGAGGGGACCTTCATTCCTGTACGCGGACGAAACATACTGGTCACTTAATATTTTCAAACCTGTGACCAAAGACACATTTAAGGAATGCGTACATATTATAGAGGTACTACCTGCGAGACGGCCAGTTTCGGATCCGGAGCGTTTTTCTTCGTGGATACGGTATATGCGAGCTATTGCCGCAATCCTTAAATTTATAAATAAATGTAAACGACTTACCTGTGACGACGAATGCGCGTTAGTGGAAGGGGCGGAGCGCCTGGTCCTGTAACAGGCGCAAGCTGAGTTGTTCGGCGGCGAAATAACGGCTATCAGGGCGGGTAAGTGTTTGCCAAGCAATAGCTACTCGCTTTGTCTCCTTACCTGGACGCCGACCGACGGTGTGCTCCGCGTGGGCGGTCGTATAGACGCCGCGCTCGACGTGCCTCTGAAAACGATGAGGCCGGTCGTCCTCTATGGACGGCATCCGACAGCGCGACTTATAGTTAAGCACTACCGTATTAAAGCTGCTCATGGTGATAAGTTTTAGGAATATAACATTCTTACACTAGCCTCACAGTACATTTATGAAAATGTAATTTATGTTAAAAGGAATAGTAATTTAGGAAATGAAACTATTTTTCCGGATTTAAATCGCGTATATTTGTAAACAAACCGACGTTTCGCGCCCTTTACAGGTCCCATGGGCAACCGTGACCATGGGACATGGATGCACAAGAACTATCGGCGAGAAGTAGACGAAAGCACTCCGATGAGAGTGTACAACCGCCATTAGAAGTGCAGTTGCAACGCCACAGTAGCGTCACGCGTGCGCCGCTTTTGCAGTCTCATGATTTTCTGACTTTGTGAAGACGACTATCAAGAACAGCTAGTTTATTTTTATTCATCGTATTAATGTTATGTTATGTCCGTCACTATTTTTCTTAAAGAAATTACTATTCGAGTTCTTAGGTTTTCGCGATTGTTACACATAGGAAATGAAACTATTTTTCCGGATTTAAATCGCGTATATTTGTTTTTTCAAACAAACCGACGTTTCGGCCCTTTACAGGTCCCATGGTCATCCGTGACCATGGGACACATAACATTAATACGATGAATAAAAATAAACTAGCTGTTCTTGAGAGTCGTCTTCACAAAGTCAAAAAATCATTCAAGGGGCACTGTATACGCTTCTATAACAATATTGCGATTGATATACAAAATTTGCCTTTCACGGGGTTTAAAACTATAGTGAAACAAAAACTTTATACTAAAGGTTATTATACACTAAAATCCGTGGTAGTAACCCGTTTAGCTCATGGAGGTAGTCTCGATCTCTGATGTTTCAAAACAAACAAAAATATATGTTGTAAATGTTGAATGTGAACAAATGTTATTTATAAAGAGCAACCCCTAGAGTTTCTTGCTCATTCTTCTCAGGGGAATCTGCCTTACGAATGAGCGGTAGTGTTTAATATTGTGACGATTTCAAGTGTAATAATGCTTACCTATGAAATAAAGATTATTCTGAATTTTGTTATGTTGGCCTATTTACTTGTTATTTCTTTTTGTAAAAATGTTGCAAAAGTTTTTAGTTAAGGTACAAAAGCTATCGGTTGCCCAGCGCCCTCTGCCTGCAGCCAGTAGTCTGCACGCGTCTCGCGATACGGCCGCACGTAATTTTTTATATATTTTAAGTGTGTTTTTATAATTTTCTCAACTGCGATTAAACTCTGTGCCTTTGTACGGAGTTGTATTATTGAAGAGGAATCCTAGTAGACTGCAGGGCGATTAAACGAAAAGTACTTTAAAAATAGGAAATGAAACTATTTTTCCGGATTTAAACCGCGTATATTTGTTTTTTCAACCGTGACCATGGGACCTGTAAAGCGCCCGAAACGTCGGTTTCTTTGAAAAAACAAATATACGCTATTTAAATCCGGAAAAATAGTTTCATTTCCTATGTGTAACAAACGCGAAAACTTAAGAACTCGATAAGTACTTTAAAAAGTTTGCTTTTTAAAATAAGCACAAAAACACGCTTTTCAATTTAAGCGTTGGTCAGATCAATACTCAACAATTGCATTTATTACAACGTGCCTATGTTTCAAGCCCCGCCATCTTTGTTTCCTAAACAAATTAATTCGTCATTGTGAATAATGATTTTATAAATGATACTCGTGTTTTACAAATAAACTTACTTACGTTAAATCCTTTAGGAGTGGTCGACTCTTGGTTTTCGCTATCAACACAACGTTACAAACTTTTTTTAAAATTGAAAGTCTACCTATGCGCTGAAACGTTTTTTCTAAACGATTTTGTAAGCTTGAAACTAAAAAGCGTTTATTTATTTATTTAGTTCATCGACACTATATACATTATAACAATCAATTAGGTAAAGGGTCTTTCAACAAGAACTTTGTTTTCTAAAATAAAATAAAACAAAAAATTTAGATGAAGATGATTCAAATTTTTATTGTATTACAAAGAGAAAAGTTCGGTAATTATGAATGAAAAATGATATCTGGCAAATGTCCACCACGACCACGCTGACAGAAGTCGATTCTTTCATCAAAATTTTTAATCACTTTTTGGCAAAATGTCGGGTCTATTTCGGCTATCACATCACGGATTTTGAGTTTTAAGGCTGTAGTCGATTCGATTGGCTCCGTATAGACTCTGTCCTTAAGATAGCCCCACAAAAAATAATCCAGTGGTGTTAAATCACACGATCTGGCTGGCCATTTAACAGCTGAATTTCGGGAAATTACGCGATCAGCAAATTTGGTTTGCAATAAATTGATCGTCTCATTGGCTGTGTGACATGTGGCACCGTCTTGTTGAAACCACATGTCAGTGATATCCATGTCATCAATGCTAGGCCAAAATTGAGTTGTTAACATCTCGCGATAGCGTGATCCATTCACCATTACCGCATTTCCAGCCGAATTTTCGAAAAAAAACGGCCCAATGCCAACGGCACAAGTGACATTGCCACCGAAACAATGAATTAATTTATTGCAAACCAAATTTCCCGATAATTTCACGAAATTCAGCCGTTAAGTAGCCAGCTCGATCATATGATTTAACACCGCTGGATTATTTTTTATGGGGTTATGTTAAAGACAGAGTCTATACGGAGCCAATCGAATTGATTGCAGCCTTAAAACTCACAATTTTTGAAGTGATTAACCAAATAGACCCACCATTTTCTCAAAAAGTGATTAAAAACTTTATGGAAAGAATCGACATCTGTAACTGTGGTCGTGGTGGACATTTATCAGATATCATTTTTCATTAATAATTGCCAAACCTTACTTTTATTAATACAATAAAAATTTGAATCATTGTCATCTAAATTTATTGTTTTATTTTGATTTACAAAACAAAGTTCTTATTGAAAAACCCTATATTTAATTACATCACAAAACCAAGAACTTAATGCTATAGGTAAATACAACATCCAAGGTAGGTAATAAGAACGTTAACATTGTTACAATTTGAATCGATCAATCCCATTAAATTGAAAAGAATGTTAATAGTATTAATTAAGCAAAATAAAAAAGCAATCCAAAATAAATTAATTAAGGCATAAGAATATAAGTATATATTTAAGATGTACTTAAAAAAACTTTTTTTTAGACTTAAAAAGTGAAAAGCTTTTTTTAAGCACACTTTGAAAAAAAGTACGTTTTAACGTTTAAAAAAATAAGCAGATTTTTCCATCTCTACGCATGTGTCTGTGCATCGCAAGATCGCAAGTAACCGTGCCGAGTTGATGTGCTAATAAAAAAGTACGTAAGCTGTAAAAATACCTGCCCATTTCATTTAAAGGATTATTATTTTCAATGATTGGTGAATGTAAGTATCTCCAAGTGTACTTTTCGTATATTTCTTACCGCTAAAGTCTATTAATACTGAAGTGTTCACTGTATACACTCACAAATCTTTGAAAAAGTCCCTTGAATGAGGTGAGTCAGGTATCTCAAAAACGGAAAGTACATTATATATGCAGTGAGGTAACATACCGTGTCCTATTTAGATGTATATTGACCATCTACCATCACCGTTTACGCCATTTTCTTTTCTTTTGTATGATACTTATGTAGGTACATACATATAGTAATTGATAGCGCAACAGCGGAAGCAATTTCTAATGCATCCATCTTCTCGGCGTTAGCAACGTCAACTACGAACATACGAGAGTGTACATGGATGCACAAGAACTATCGGCGAGAAGTAGGCAAAAAAACTCGAATGAGAGTGTACAACCGCCATTAGAAGTGCAGTTGCAACGCCACAGTCGCGTCACGCGTGCGCCGCTTTTGCAGTCACATTAAGTGCGCACACAGACGTGCGTCTGCCATGCCCAATTCGCGCCATACCATCGCTTCTGCAAGCGTCTGATTGGAAGGCGCCCTAAGCCTGATTGATTTTTATCACGTGAGAGAAGACAAACAAATACTGGCGATTTAAATAATACTTCCAAAGTCTGATTTCATTTCTCCTTTCATTATCTCAACATCTAAGTGTACACACATCAAAAAAAGTTTGCGATCAATAGCATAAGCTCCTATAATTCTTTAAATTTAACTTTATCAAGAAAAAATCTATGTTGTATGCTTTCTTTAAATAGGAATACCCTGTTTGAAATTAAAATATAAAACTATTTTTTATTATTTATTTTAAAAAATTGAGCCATTAATCATAATGTAATAATGATAGAAATTTCATAGAAAGAAAAAGACTGTTTAATTAAACTTAAACAACAATTTATTATTAAAAGGTGTGAATTCAATATAAAATAACTCCTCCCCTGGCTCGAATACATGCGAAGATCCTCCTGGGCATGCTGAGGATCAAGTTATCCAGCATTTCCTGGGGTAACCTATCCTATTCTTCAATAGCGGTTTCCCTGAGCTCTGGAACTGTCTGGGGACGTGGCTCACGGTTCCATACTGCTCGTTTAAGAGCATCCCACGCGTGCTCTATTGGGTTTAAGTCGGGCGAGCCGGCAGGCCAGTCTAATCGTGTGATATCGTATTCTTGAAGAGCAGCATTGACTCGTTGAGCTCGATGTGCGGGCGCATTATCATCGACCAGTACAAATTGGTGCCCATGGTTTACTCGGAATGGTCTGACGATATCATCAATAGCAACTGCTTTGTACATGTCTGCGGTCATGAAGCCCCGATACGGGATCAAAGGCGTTCTAGCTCCAATCATAATGCCACCCCAAAAGGACACCGATTTTCCGCCTTGCTGAACTGTTCCAGTGGCAGTTCTTTGTCTTTCACGGTCGCCTGGTCTTCTCCAGACACGGACACGTCGGTTATCTGGATGAGTGCTGATTCGGGATTCGTCAACGAAGAGACAGTTTTGCCAAATGTTTTCGTCCTTACCATCTTCATTTTGCCGAAGTCTAACCCACTGCAATCTTCGTTGTTGACGTTGCCGGGAATTGAGCGGAGCTCACCAAGACCTCCGTGCTCGTAATCCAGCCTGGTGCAAGCAATTGCGAACGGTCTGCATGCTAACTTCAAGCCCAGAGGCGGCCCTGACTTCTGCTTTTATTTTAGTGGCGTTGATTGTTGGATCACGGGCTGCCAGCAATCTAATATAGCGCTTTTGGGCAGCTGTCAAAACAGTTGGGCGACCGCTGCGGGGTCGGTCAGCTAAATTCCCCATTCCGTGATACCTCTGCAACGTAGCCACGACACAGGATTGGGATATAGCAAGTCTGCGTGCTATTACTCTCGTGGTGTATCCTTCTTCCCTCAAAGGTACTATTCTAGCTCGTAAAACCTCTGATAATCCTCTTGGCATTTTTTCAATCACAACTTTCCGCGAAAAATATCTTGAATCGCTTATAATTGACTAAATCAGATTTCTGAATGAGCGTAAGCTAGGACTGAAAGCCTTTTTATATGAAAAAACAATTGAACGGGGTCATTGTTTTATGTTCTAATTTATTTTTAAATAAAGAATCTAAAAAGAAGAAAAAATCATAATATAATCTACAGTAACAAAAAAGATTTCAGTTTTTCGAAGTGATCGCAAACTTTTTTTGATGTGTGTAGGTAGCGGTTACCATATATCGCCAGGTGGACCATCTCACTTTTTGCCAGTTTGTTTAAAAATAATAACTCAAACCGATAAGAGTTGACATAAAAAAAATTTTAATTAATTTATTTCAGGTATTATCACCAACAGGATATAAGTATTTAGTAGCAGTGCGACCAAGAGTAGCAGAGCGAGAAACTATAATACCAGGAGACTATGTTGTAATACAAGCTACTGTAAAAGGAGCACGATACCTCGCTGAAGTAATTCGAGTAATAGACGATGATCACGAAATGTTTTATAGAGCGCATGATATATGGCCGAAAGAATATGATATCGGGGGCTACGTTGAACATCTAGCAGAGAGAATACAAAAAGCTCAGAAGGAGGAAGAAATGCTCCAAAAGTTGTCAAAAAAAGAAAGAAAGAAGTGTGGGATACCTGTTGCTGCTCCTACTACTACTACTACTGTCAGTAGCACCTCGAAAAAAAAGAAGGAAAAACAGAAACCTTGTAAGCACACAAAAAAATTTGACAAAAAGTGTCTCGCTGATACACGTTTATTTCCTGATGACGGTATTATGTTGGATTTAGAAGCGGATGAAGACCAGTGGCATAGAGATGTCGCTAATTGTGCCACCAATACTGCAAATGCCAATAACAGTGCAAAAACCATTGGTACAAGTACCAATAGTACTACTAAAGGCAATGCAGATTGCTGTTGCATTACTTGTTGTGATAAGATGATGCCCACTAAAAAAGTTGATAGATATCGTACTTAGTTGTGATCGAATGCCTCCATTGTATGGTAAATGAACACCATGAAAAACCTCCAAGAAAGACATATAGAAACAAAGTTAGAAGCCTTTTTAAATATGTTAGATAGAAAATTAAATAGCTCATGTATCGAACAGGAACAAAAAAATGAAAATATTCTTGCGGCAACTGTGTTTACGTATTGTGCTTAAAAAAATTAACAATACTACTATATGTACAGTTATAAATTCCCCACAAAACTTGGTATAATAATAGTACAGTAATAAAGTAATAAGTTCCCAGAAGACTTGGTATACCATTATAATTTCCAGTAAATATTACCATCACTTGATAAAAAAAAACATCAAATGAAGAGAGCTAGACTTATACTAAATTAACTGATTAAGGCGTTACTTTTCGGTAATCCATGTTAATAAATATAGAAGTAAATTAATTACTATTATATTGCTATTTCGAAAACCCACAACATTATACAATTTACACACAAACATTAGGGACATTATTGTCTGTAATTTGTCTGTAATCTTAGCTCATTTTTTGTCAAATCCATTTATAGCCTTATCTGTAAGGGGCATTTATCGTTAATTAAATTACGACGTTCATTCAGAGGAGCAATTTGTGTCCTTCCGGTACGTAGTCTCCCCCAAAATCCTCCATTGCTCCCAGTCTTTGGCGATCTCCCACCACTCTCTCTCAAACCCATCGAGGTCGTCTCGCCAACGCCATCTCGGCCGTCCACGCCGTCTCTTTCCGTCCTCGGGCACCCAAGGAGTGACGACGTTCGCCCACCTCACAGGTTGCATCCGGCTAACGTGATCCGCCCAATCCCACTTGAGCAAGGCTGTTTTGCTCCCCTCATCAGCAATGCCAGTCATCGAACGCAGCGTTGTATTGCGTACTCGGTCAATACGCTTGAGGCCCAGAATGCTGCGTTCCATCGCCCTCTGGCAGATCTTGAGTTTAGACTTTTGGAACTCAGTCAGCAACCATGTCTGTGCACCGGAGGTTAATATTTCAAGATAGTTTCAAGAAGTTAATATTTCTTGTAAAATAGCTGAGCTAGTATTTAATATTTTTTCACGCAGTTCATTTTCCCACTCTCAAGATTAATAAAAATATATAGCATAAGCTCAACTACAGTCACAAATACCGCCCCCAAAAATGTATCCGACACGTGTTTCACCAAGACACAATTATTAACCACAAACCAATCTACTATCTTTATAATATGATTGTGAACACCGTCGTAAGAATATTGGTGCCGTTTAACATTAAATAATAAGGAAATATCATCAGTAAACATTGCTATATTATGCCTATATTACACATTATATACTATATTTAAACATGTTCTAGTCATTACTATAAACTAAAAATAAAAGCGGACCTAGAATTTTAAACCTTGAGGGACGCCCATGCTCATTGCAGACTCTGATTATTTCGTGCCTACATTATACAGAATACATAGCACCATGTAAGTCTTCTTAAATATCAAATATGTGTTATGTTTTAATGCACTTAACACCAGAATCCATTGTTGAGTGTGACAACAAATTGTTTATGCAACATTAAGTTATTTTTGTTAAAATGTGAACACGGCTGATTGAGAATATTTTTTCAAATATCTCACTGACAACCCTGTAATTGTTGAGGCCTATCTTTCTGACTTTAAAACAGAAATAACTTGTTTTGCTTCATAAGTTTAGAAAACACTGAAACACATGAATACATTTATTACTTATTTGTAATTTTTTTAATTTTGTATTTAATTGATATTCAATTATTTTTTGTGAAATTACTCGACTAGTTTGTTATAATTATTAATACAAATATCGAACACTTATTAAAATTCCTTCGATCCGGCCGAATTCGAACCGACGTCTTCTAGCAAACCGTGCCAGACGCTATACCAACTAAGCCACGGAACGAACCAGCGGACCTCACGAATTTTTCTACGTGCTTGTTGTCGAGTCTTTGTACTTGGTTTTCAACGACTTTTTAGCCGTAGCGCCATCTATAACAAATCTATGAATCGTCATCCCCACCAGCCCTGGCTAGAGATGTCGCTATTATCTGTAATTAAGTTTGTATTGTATTATTGTTTGTGAAATTACTACAAGCCACTCGATCACGAAGGTGGTAAATTTTTTTCCATCTGAACTTTATTTTAAAATCTATGCTAAATAAAACATTATTTATTATACAGAAAATTACTTGGCACTCACATGCATTTTTAACCCTTATTTTAATTTCTGTTGTAACTCCTTTTCCTCTCGGACAGCGCTGTTGTGGAAGAGACTCCCTTCCCATATCCAGTCTAGCCCGTCTATCGCTTGTTTCAAGAAAATGTTGACAACGCACTTTCTTGCTGAACTGTTTTTGTAATCACCTTTTCATTATTATTTTTTTCACATATTTATTTATGTATAAATATATACACATAGGTACACCTATGTGTATATATTTGTGTATGTATATTGATGCTATTTATTATGATTCATTATAAGACTTATGTAAGTAATGGCATTTTTAACTTTGTTTTATTTATGTACTTTATTATATTTCTTTCTCATTCCCTCTTACACACTGTTACCCACTCGTAACCTTAGCTCTCACTGCCCTGGGTTGGCTGGAAGAGATCTCTTTTATAGACAAGTCCACCTTTGCTCACCTTCTGTTAAATTAACATTTCTGTTGTATTTATTTGGTGCAATAAAGAATACATATAAGAATCGAAAGGGCAGATGAATAATTATAATTTAAAATTATTTTGCAGGAATTATATATAAATATATTTGACGACTTAGAACAACTACATTATACGTATACACCAGTGCTATGAACAAGATAATAGAAAAAGTGTTGAATATATTGGATCCGGCGTTCCCATCGGAATTAGAAGGAAAGGAACCGTCTGTTTCGATAAGTTCAACAGATTCGGAAGATACTGAAGAAGAATTAGAATTAGAAGAAGAAGAAGAAGAAGAAGAAGTAGTAATAGTTGTACCTAAATCGACAGCACTTATCAAATCTTATTCAACGGATTTTGCGCTTCCCGAGGTGGACCAATGCATAGTACGAGTTACAAAAGTCATAAACAGATACAAAGTCCGGGTAGGTATCAACGAAGATTACCAGATACAAAGCGTAGCTGAGTATTTCTCTGATTTTATCTGAATGAAACTATAAATACTCTATCATCATCACCATCATATCAGTCGGAAGACGTCCACTGCTGAACATAGGCTTCGCCCAAAGTTTCCAGACTAGTCGATAGCCGCGCTTACCAGGTCATCCGTCTATCTAGTAGGTTGCCGTTCCACTGAACGCCTTCTGCACTTCCGGTTCGTAGTCTCCATTCGACAACCTTTCTGCCCTAATGCCCGTCAGTTCTACGAGCTATGTGCCCTGCCCACTGCCACTTCAACTTACTAATTCTTTGAGCATTGTCGGTAACTTTCGTTCTTCTGCGGATCTACTCTTTTTTATGAGGCCCATAGTAAGTGACCACGTCTCAAAGCCGTAAGTCATCGTAATAAATACTCTAAATTTATAAATATTTTCGTAAAATATATGTATATATATATATCTAAGCTTATATATAAGCTGCTTGCGTGGCTAAGCTATGGAGTAATATATATAATATAATTCAATAAGAAAGAAAATATCCATAATATTAACCTTAGAGCTAAGTCCAAACTCATGGTACCACGATTTCGTTTAACCAAGGTAAACAACTCTTTTATGGGGAACTGTATACGTTTTTACAATAAGATTCCGGAGCATATATTAAGTTTATCATTTCCTAAGTTTAAAAACTACATTAAAAATATTTTGATCGAAAAATCATATTACAAAATTGAAGACTACGTGTTAGATAAAGATGTATGGAAAGACGACACGGCTCCAGAATCCACACAAATTTGATTCAAAGTGTACTCCATAGCATTTAAGTTTATTTGAAAAGAGCAATCCCTAGAGTTTCTTGCTCGTTCTTCCAGGGAGGTCAGCGTAGTGAACGAGCAGTAGCTTAAATGTGACGATTTCAAGTGTAAATTTATTTTACCTATGGAATAAATAATCTTTGACTTTGACTTTGACTTTGAGTAATTATGTGGGTACACAAATAAATTCGCTATTAAATCTACAGACAAAATGGTATAGGAATTATAAAGCATTTACAAAATATAGCTTTAAACCATTTTTTTATGATATCTACTAAGTGACGCATCAAGTCGTGTGTCTGGTGGCAAGCGACACTGGTCCAAAGCAGTGACACTGCCACTCAGAACTTTAAATTGCAAAGACTTGAGGGGCACTGCCACCATATTTTTATATATTTTTATATTATTTTTATATGTATATATATTTTTACAGCTTGGAAATTTTAACATTAACATTAATATAAATAGACTAGAAAATTTGAGAAAATATCCTTTTTAGACAAAATAGGGGGACCTACCAAGTCGCTTTCCCACCAGACATATAAAAACAAAGTAATCATGCCAAAATACAAAATGGAAATCCGGCCCCTTGACTACGTCAATTCAAATCGCTAATAAAATTTTGAAGTTTTATTAATTATTTAAACACTTTATTGTACCACAAAGTAATTTTCAAAAACAAAACAAATTTTCAGAAACAATTTAAAATATTTGTGTACAAAGGCGAGCTTATCCCATAAAGAGATTACTTCCAAGTAACCTTTTGAAAATGTGAGAGGAAAGTTGGTTTTTGGGGTGGCACTAAAAATAGATAAATAAAGAAATTGAATATACTATACTGAATAAATACACAAACAATCGTGACTTGGAAAGTCGCATTTTCGTTCCGCTTGCTGTTGAGACGGCGAGTTGTTGGGGTAGCAATGCGAAAAAGTTTGTAGCAGAAATCCGGCGACGGCTTCTTACTGTGGAGATGACTCCCGCGCCGGCGCCGCCGCCGGGTTGCTCTTGGCGCAAAGATTGTCCATTGCCGTACAGCGAGGAAATACGGCAAGCGTGATGGCCACCTTTGCGCTGGGATCAGTCCGGGGCATATAATTTGTTGGCTTATTGAAATAATTTGTTATTCATGAGTATACTATGTATTCAAAATAAACTTGACGTTTAAATTAATTATGTAAAAAAAATATACAAATGAATTTATTATATCAAATGTATAGGGTCGAGAGCACGTCAAGCTTGACATTTAAGATTTAAATGCAACTCTATGCCGCTTACGATAAAAACGGTCGAAAGTACAAAGTGTCACGCTTGACGTACTCTTGACTGTACATATGAGTACACATATGTTAAGTAATGTTGATACACTAATAATACAAAATCTGTAGTAAAATGAATGCATAAAATATAAATAAATATATCAAATGTAAATAAATATTTCAAAAGCTCTAACATGTGGAGTCTGATCAAGTTTTAATAAACTTATTCAGACTCCGCATGTTTTACTACAAGTCAGGATGTTTGACTACTACGATATTCAATTATTTTTTGTGAAATCATTCCACTAATTATTATAAAAAAGATCGAAACGGTAAGAAAAATTAATTCAATTCCAAAAAAACTGAGTTAATTAATAACATACCACAACCTATTGCACTGGTAGGTAACTCGGATACAAATTATTTTTTTGAGAAACGTGTCGTCTATCCCTGATTTTGGAAACTTTTTGTCAGTTTTACCCTTTTCTCGCGTGGCATTTTCGAAAAGATATTATCGACTTAATTTTTTGTAATGAAGTAGTTAATTTTTTATTACCTTATTACAAATCCTACACTACATTTCATATTACGTGAACTAAATGTGGATCATAAAGAAACTGATAGTTGTATAGGCATATCAGCACACTTACATACTAGTTAGTTATTACAGTTTCTTTTAAATATGATTTTATTTATAGATATATTTTCTTAGATTATAATTTGAAAAACCTGAACCTGAATTTATTTTATCCAAAATTGTAATTACACCCGAGCAACAAGCGACTTTTTAGTTCTCAATTTCGCGTTTTTCAGACATTTTAGCTTTCCTGATAAAAGAGATAGGTACCTACAAAAGTTTCTATATCTCTTGTAGGTTATTTTTAAAATCTCATTATTAGGATCTTTTTTAAGTTTTTTGAAAAGGTTGTCGCGTATTCACATACATCTATGCAGAGCTTTTGTAATCCATTGCTTATAGATTCTTTTCCTATTAGAGGTGTTGAGAAGTCTGGAATTTTCAGTAATTGCTTTTTTTTAATAAATTAATTAATACATCATCGGTGGCAAAAAATTTTTTTAAGAAAAGAAGTTGTGCTTACCCTATGGCCTCGTCCATGTGTGCATAGTTTATTCTAAAAACGCGTTTAGATGAATATTCCAGCCTAGTATTAAGTTTAATACTAGGTGCAACACACATTGGTAATCAGTGACAGACGATTCAAATACGATACATATAGGATTTAATTTAGACTTAATCATTATGTGATTCACAGAGGTTTTGCCATGGGTTACAGCGCAGTGTGACCCGGTAGTAAGCTATGGCTCGCTAAAATGGTGAGATATTCATGTGAGCGTTTATTATTGTTCGAAGGGACGATATCTATATTTATATCACACATAAAATGATATTTTTACAACAATTCAAGTTAGTTAAGGTGTTATCAAGCGATGAGTGGAATTAGAAAGTATCTTGATTACTTGGCGATCGGTAAATAGCCAAGATGCACGTTTCCGAGTAAAGTTTCAGCAAAATACAGTTTGCGTCAACAATACAAGGGTAATTATTAATACAAAGATCGAACACTCAGAAAAAATTCCTTCGATCCGGTCGGATTCGAACCGACGTCTTCTTGCATACCGTGCCAGACGCTATACCAACTAAGCCACGGAACGAACCAGCGGACCTCACGAATTTTTCTATGTGCTTGCGTCGTGTCTTTTTATTTGGTTTTTCAACGACTTTTTAGTCGTAGCGCCATCTATGAGAAATCTATGAAAGATTTATCACCCAGTTAGTACCTTTACAGCTAGTAATTTCACAAAAAAGAATTGAATATCAATTCAATAAAACTTTAATTAATACAAGGGTAGTCACTTGAGACCATTGGCTTACAAATAAATGGACGACGGGTCTAATACAAAAACCACGAAAAAAATGTCCCAAGTCAACCTATTTAAACGTAGTGACATGTAAAGGAATATGAAAAAGCTAAAACGTTGAATTTAAATTGTAATGTTTTCGCAGTACTGTCTAATTTTGCTTGCTTCGCTGTCAATCGAACAAACGAAGACTAAAGCGTGAAAGACGCTCTGTATACGATTTTAACGCCCTATAAATTCGGACACTTTTTAGCGCGGACCCGACGTCCATATAATTGTAAGTCAATGCTTGAGACAGTTAATTTCTCGTTATAATAGATAACCACGCCTTCGTTTTGTGTAATTTGATTTGTTATGCAGACGTAGTCATAGCCATCTAGAGTTGATATACATTTAGCTGTACAGAGCTAGCACTCAGTCAGCACAATCACATCCCAAAGAATATTTGATCTGGAAATGCGGGTCAGAAAGTTATTAAAATTACAAGTAAGGCTCGTAATGTTTTGCGAAATTATATTTAATGAGTTGTCGCTTGCTACATGTGTTTTGGCATCGTCAATATTACAGGACACTGAATTGGCTGTTGTTAAGGAATCCAGACTCAAATTACTGATTAAATCTTGTTGAACTCCGTCACGATCCCGTAAAACGAGGTACAACGTTACACAATCGCAGTTAATTTCTACTTTAATAACATAATATTTTAAATAATTATTTGAATCTGTAGATTGTGCAGTATAACGACGAAAAACAGGGTTCCGTACGGTTATTTCATCGCCATAAAGGTTTAAGGAAAGGTGTGTTGGTTTTGCGTGTTTGAAGTATAGAGTGTAAGTGTGTGTGAGCAAGAATATTATGTGAGTTATTAAGAGAAGCATAAGTAATGCTATGAATAAAAACGAGGGAGTGAAATAATATAGGGAATAAGAAAAAATACTTAAAACTAATTTACGGTGTAAATTCACAATGTAATGTAAAGTTTTTAAAATTGACTCTAGTCACATAGCGATTTTAAACAAGTCGGCTTCCTCGCAGATACGGATCGGGACAGAATCGTCTTGTTTTTTAACATAACTTTGTGATGAGATCATTGTTATACATTTTTCGGCTTTCAATGCCCTAAGCGACACCTTGTAACAGATTTATGAACCTTCTCACCCAACCAGTACCTTTACAAACACCACAAGCTGATGTTGATGTCACTTTACTAACTATGAACATCAAGGTGTTAAAACATTATCAAAACATTAAATACAAGAAAAAAATCAATAATGGAAACTTACAACAGTAACTAGTACTACATCTCACTAGAAATATAGCAATCTTTACTGAAAATCAGTACATTTATGATGTGTGACAACGATCCCGAGTTTAATACTGCCGCCGTTAGTTGAAAGGGCGCTTGTCATAAAAACTAAAAACCGAGAGAATAATGTTTAAAGGCATGAAATAAAAAAAAATCACCGCAGTATAGTTCACAAAATTTTTTAATCCGCCTTTTGAACTAACGGCAGCAGAATAAAAAGTTAAACAAGAAATGTTACAAAATTCTACCCCCACGTCATAATATTATTACCGTATACGAAAAGGCATATAATCAAACAGCATAGATAGGATAGCTATGACATCATGAAGAAATAAATTATTTTGCACCTTTTGCAGATAACTACAGATAATGTACAAAAGTATTCTATATCAGTGCCTAAAAGATTGTTAGATTTGATACACGTAAAGAACTACCTTTTGATTCAACCCCCGGCAGATGGATCGGAAAACATAGCCGAAATAATTAGAGTAATAGACGGTGATTATAAACGTTTTTATGAAGCTAATAACGTTTGGCCAATCCACTTTGACGATCCCGACTTAGGTATTCTGGGTCCACTGCCTCCCAAACAAAAGCAAAAAAGTAAGAAAAAAGATAAGAAAAAAGATTCGAAATCCGACCTAAAAGCACCGATTATCGAGGCAACAGGCAAAAAACCTGCCAAATCAAGGAAAAAGCGAGTGAAGCGTGACAAAAATATATTCGATACGGAGGAGGAGGAGGAGGAGAAATTGGAAAGTGTATCGGAAAGTGACTCGGACGATAATGCAAAAACAAGAATGGACAAACGAAGAAGGAGATTAGCGTTAATAGGTACTCATGCCGAAAAAGAAAACGTCGACAATACTACTGTTACTTCTGCCGTGGTCACTAGTCGTGAGCCGATTGTGAAACATAGAGATGAAATGCCTATAATATTAGGTAATCGTCAACCATGGTCGGCAGTCTTACACCACAAACCAATGACAGAAAAACAGAAAAAGAAACATATTCAAAAAGAAATGAAAAAAATGAGAAAGCGTATTGGTAAGCGTGCGCTTACTGACGAGAAGGACCTGCCGTGTGGTGCTGTTAAGGGTCAAATTATGGTACCATGGGAGACTATTGCAGGAAAATACACGAACAAAAAACAACAATTAGACGATACAGTATAAATAGTGAATTATTTTTGACATACAGTTATTTTGCAAATAATAAGTAATTACTGTATCCTGCACGAATAATGAAGAGAATAGAGCTTTATATCTAAAACGAAAATAATTGAATTAGCAAGACTTAACTAAGATTATAAGAGAATCCAAGCAAGTTAACTAAGGTAAATGGAGATCGCTAAATATTAAATTTGATAAGATGGTTGCTTCCGCGTTATTTCATTTTTTCAAGTATTTTTCACCCGTCTTTCGTAGGTCATTCACAGATAGTATTTGGAGGTTATTAGACCTAAGCATTAAAAAAACTCTTTTTACAAATAAAAAAAAACTAAAAAAATTCTATTATTTTCATGAACTACCAAAAGTCGCTACACTAAAAAACTAAAAATACATATTTAATTCAAATGACAACAATACACGTAATACTTATTTATTTTCGTCTTATTTCGTTTTTTACACAGTAAAATACTTTTTAACAGACTTCAAAAAAGGATGAGGTTCTCAATTCGTCTGTCTTTTTTTTTGTATGTATGTTACGCGATAACTCCGGTATTTGTGAACCGATTTTCATGATTCTTTTTTTGTTGGAAAGGGGATACTTCCATAGTGGTCCCATTTCATTTTGAAGAAAAGCATCCATCTCGAAGGGTGCCTGTTCACGCATGAAGATTCATTTTCATAAATAGCGCCTAACATTAATTTAGGAGCCATTACTTTAATGGTTGATTTTGCTATTTCTCCAATTCAAGGCGTTTTTCTCTCAATATACTTTGAGTGGTGAGAACCGATTTTTATTATCTCCAGCGTCAAGTCCTGTATAGTGGCGAACTAGGGGATATTTCAATAAAACTTAGTAAATAGACGTAATTCCACGTTCTTTTGAAGTCGGTTTTTTTAGTACTCTGTACTGAGATTATTAATCAATCTATCTACATTTATGGTTTATTTATACGATTACAATAACCTATAATTTTAATAAAATATTATTATGGGTAGGTATGTGTTTTGTTCAAATATCAATATCATATCTTTCTTCACAGTATTACAAGATGAATTTTAATGATCGGAGGATATTCACAGACGATCGACTTGATGATTATATTCTTCCCGCCGACGACCAATGCGTAGTAAAAGTGGTAAAGAGACTTGTAAAGGACAACAATTTCTTGGTATGTAAACACAAAAAAACAGTTGAAGCACAAACGACAGACGGAACGACAGGTCGGATCACAGGCATGTGCCTACATAATTACAGGCCTGCCGCTTAAGAGTCTATACAACTTCAAATGGCTTTAGTTGATACCGCGTAACAGTGTGAAAACACGATTAGAAAAAAAACTTACCTGTATTCAATAGGTACTTACATACCTATATCCTTACAATAATAACGCATAGAATGATAGTTTCGTATCAAACGAACTGTCACAAGTGAGGCAAAAATCAAATTCATTTAGGCTAGTTTTAGTAGTAGGTTAATTTTCGGTTTTAGTGAATATTTATATAAAAATACAAGTCGAAACGCGTTACTTCCTTGTGGAATGTGATGTTAGTATCTATTTTATGTTTGTCTGACGTATTTTTACACTCATTTACCGCGCATTTCGTCATTTTTAGCTAAAATTCTTGAGCTGTTCGCGGTGCAAGTTGACCTTGAGCACTGACGGCCCGCCCGCTCGTGTAGGCCCATTGGGAGTGCTTCAATTTGCCTCACTTAGCGTGTGCGGACTAGGTTTCTATGCGTTATTATTCTAAGCCTATACCAATGTTTTTTTTTATATCAACTGAACAATGGAACACGTACACTATACGATATATATATTTGAAATGGCTTTAATTAAAAAAAACTAAAGTCTGATAATCAAGTGTCCCGGCACTGCCGCTCGACCCAAGCAAAATCGATACTATTAGTACAGGAAAAATTTTAATTCACGCTGAGATAGTATCTACTTTCAACTGAGTCGGTTCCTGAGGTAGCTGCGCTGTGCTGAAGGAGTGACAGTTTACGTAACAGTTATGTCGCGCTGCACTCGAGATAATTTCAACAAGATTTTTCTGACGATATTCAATAGCAAGTTGATTTTCCAAATAACTTTTGTTCGAATTCTCATTACCGCGAAAACCGAATTATAAAGAAACTGTTGTTCTTTCAGGATATGTTGGATGTTTATCGCAAAGACGCGATTAGGTTAGGTTAAGTGATCTCCTTCTGTGGAGCGGTGATGCTTCAGAAGGAGGTCGCCGAGCGTAATCGGGAGAGGGCCGATCCCGACCCATAGATATAGAAAAAAAGGGGAGATATGCAATGACGCTATGTAGGATCGGGTACCGATGTCGCTACTTTTTAACTTGTGTGCAATTCAAACTTTACGTTCTATTATCTACTACCATAACTTAAAGATTTTGATTGGGTAAGGCCTGAAACGTGAAAACGACGTAACACAATTTTAAAATTTAACAAAATTAAACTTACAGACACTTGAGTAAGAGTTATATTACAATATTTCAGTCTTTTTTTCATCCTGGTTCAGCCAGTCACCATCAAGTGGCGTTTTAGTAAAAATGCTACTAGTATACAATAGCTAACTATTACACGTTAGATGGCGCTGAAAATCATTTTTCGTTTGTGTATTATTAAATTAATATAAATTATTATTATTTACTTAATGGCGGCCACTAGGCTTGGGCCAGTGTCAGTTTTATAAGAATAATATAAAAAATATGGCAATCGTCGCCAGTGTCAGTTTTCCATTATACGTTACCACCTTAGAGGATGGAAAAAAAATAAAAGAAAGGAGCTGCCCTAACTACAAAATCAACGTGCATATAACCAAAATTTGAAAGTTACAAATGGCGGATTTCTTAATGTTGTACCATAATCTATCGATAAGTCATTATCGACATGCAAATGTATGGCTTGAATGTTTATTTATTTTATTTATTTATTATTAATTAAAAGTAAATACAAATAAAAACTTAA